TCATCTAAAGGTGCTTATTTTCAGTCAATTTGCTGAAGTTAGTTTTCCACACTGAAATGACTGTAAACTAAAAACGCTGTTTTAATGTGGATAGAAGGCCAAAACTGAGAGAAAAGTGTGAAATCTGGGGTTAAAAGCAGGATTTAGAGTGACAGTAGCCCAGTGTTTAGTTAAATTAACTTTAATGTTAAAAGTCCTAAAGAAAATGACATTTCTCTGCAACCACTTTTAAAGACCCTGAATCAATTTACTTTACAAACTTTAAAAACTTAGACGATTTACAAATGACAACAAATAAATAGTAATAATAATAATAATAATAAAAACAATAAAAGACAAGAAACTACATAAATAATGGACCCTAAAAACTACATAAATAATGGACATTTCTGGATTTTCCAGCAGCGGATTATTAAAGTGCCGTGAACGGGGAAAGTACTATCCCGTTTGCTTAAGTAATGAAATAAAAACTCAATGATAATGTTCCCGGCTTAGGCACCACATTAGAAACACCTCGCATAAGTGGTAATTAGCTTTTTTTAGTAATTTGATGCAAAGTATAAAAGTCTTGTAAAAAGTGTTCGTATGGTAAATCCTAGTTAGTTATTTATTAAATATCTGTTTTGTAGTATTACAGTTTCCTCACCATGGAAAGCATATTCTATTAATTTAATGTATGTTTTTTTTTTTTTCAGGAACAGTTTTTCTCTCAGCCCAGCTCAAGCACAGGGCCGAGAGTAGAAACTCTTGTGTCAACCACAGTAGTGAACTCCACCGGTCCACCAGGGGGCAGTATACACCCCTTTAGACAGGTACCATGTCTGCAACCACGTGTATGAATATTTGAAATCAGCCTGTTGTAATCCTGTTTTAATGCTGCTTTAAAAACTGAGTCTTTCTTCAGGCGAACTCACGGATAGTAACAGCAGGCAAACAGAAAGCCAGCAAGACAGTCACCGCTCGTCTGACCGGTAGGGTCGAGCACCGGACGAGTCGCCCACCTGCAGCCATGCATGTCATGGGTGTCGCTCCACCCATGAGTTCAGTCGTTGTAGAAAGACACCACCCCGTCACTCAGGTATCAATGAGCAAATGCTGCTGAGCACACTCAATAACTGTTTTCATCCACATATTTTATGTGCATTGTGGAATATCAAGATTTGTATATACATTTCAAATGTGCAGTTATATGTGCACAACTGATTCGGATAAACTCTTTATTCTATAAGAAAAAAAACTGCATAAACTATGATAAACACATTTATTGAATAAATTCTAGCATGTGCATCAAAAACCTAGTGGTTTTGTTTAACATGTAGTAACAAAAAGTCCAAAAGAGCAGTCTTTCGCCTACAAAATCTTCATTTTAAGGCACAAGTAATTGATTACATTAACTTCAACCGCAGCAAATTCCATTTTTCTTTTTGAAATTTATTGCCAGTTTGTCAGGATTTTGTTCTGTTTGACTCATTGGAGGATAATGATGCTTTGTGTGCACATTTATATGCAATATTCCAGTTTTGCGCATAAAGCCTAACTCACACTGTGGGATTTCAGCCACGATTTGGGCATCTGAGACAAATTTGGAAAATCCTAAAAGAACCTTGAAATCCTAGCTAAAGACTGATCTTTGATTATTGGTTTAACATGTTCAGAGACAGCTGCTTAATGGCTGTTGCGATTACAGTTTCCCTCCGATGAAGTTCTAGCAGTGTTAGAACATTTCAGACACTTTCCTGCAGTATAAAAAATAAAAAAAAAAATTTCTGCTGGATACCTGGACATATGGGTTTCATTGGAAATGAACGTGCAGATAAAGTAGCTAAGTAAGCCTTACAGTTGGAGATTACAGAATGTAAAATTCCTGTATCTGATGTTAAACTTGTTTTAAATCTGTATATTAATGAGAAATGGCAAATGGAACGGGATGAATGTAGGCATAACAAATTGCATGAAGGGAATCCATTTGTAAATTAAAGAAATAAGTATCATTTTGAAAATAGACATGACCAGGTTATACATACGAGATGTAGAATCGGACACTCAAGACTTACACACACATATTTAATAAAAGGGGAAGAAAAACCTATTTGTGACTTGTGTAAAAATATTTTGACGATAAAACTTATTTTAATAGTATGTGTATTTTTAAATGATGTTCGAAAACGTTTTCATCTGGGAAATATTTTAAGTGAAATGTTTGAAAAGGTGCCTTCTGGAGCAATTTTAGAATATTTGTCTTTAATCAAACTAAAAGACTGTATATGGCTGTTTTCAGTGTTGTTGCTATTTGTACGTTTTTTTTTTTTTTTTTTTACAATGTATGTTTGTTAAAAAACAGATATAATTATATGATTATATATTGTATATTTAGTATATGTTTTTCCCATAAATATAGCCAATGCTGCTGATATGGCATTAAAACCTAAATAAAGTAAATGCAGTATAAAAAAAACAGCTGCTACAAGCATCAAACCAAGAACCAATAGGATTTCAGAACCACTAACAACTTCAAACCACTATGGGGAAATGTCAAAACTTTTTTTTTACTTTTTTAGTTTTATTATTGAGGCACGCTGTGTGCAAAATTGCAACTACAGATTACTTATGTTTGCTGTGAGGAATCATTTCAGCGCAGTATAGTAAAAGTGTCATGGATGGATGATGTCGAACTCCAGGTGAGTTTTCTTCAGTGTTTGGCACGTCTTCATTGTTATTCATTCTGACACCATTGTTAAGTTTAATTACTGGTTGTGACGATGGTTGATGTGTTTGTAGCATATGGAAAGGAAAGTGAGGACTTTTCTGTTATGTAAAAAGGTCACTTTCGGGGTGAACGGGAGTTATTGTTTTGTTTGTGAATGGCCAAAGTATCATAGTCATGCCAAAGAAATGAGTTTGAAATGTTGTTCTTATTTAGTAACTATTATGACAACTGAGATCTTACAGTGTGACGGCAGCCAAAAAATTTTGTAAAATCACACGGTGTGAGCTAGGCTTAAGTCTAATTTGCATATTTGGCTGAAAACATAACTACTGGTGCTCATTGTATTTTCATTTTTTCTTTCCAATATACAGCTCACCGTCGGTCAAGCAACAGCAGCTAAATTCCCTCGACCTGCTCCTCAGAGTCAGACAGTTTCCAGCAGCAAGAGCTCCTCCAGCCAGACCAGGGGAACCTCCTCCAGCTTTCACCTTCACTCCATCAAAGTAGTGGACTAACACATGCGCACACACGTTTATCTTTCAGGTCTTGAATCCGGATGCTGTAATTCCACAGTATTTGATTTAATCTAATTCGTCAGGTCTAGAGGTTTTTAATTAGGTTGGTCCATTTTTCATACATTTTATTTATTAACATAGCATAGTGAAAATGACAGACAACTGTTTTTTTTATTCTTGAATTGCCAAAATGAACCATTTCAATCGAAGAAATATTTATTACGTGATGTGGTTTATTTATTAAATTGTTTGTATGAGGGTTACCTTTTAATGTTATAATGTTTTACAAAGCCATAATCAAAATCTGTGACAGGTTCCTGATTAATAGATTCAGATTAGTTTGACTATTTTTTTAAATTAGTAGCTTACCTTAATCCATATTTAGCAATAAAAGTTTGCTGGAATTCCATGTGAGTCAATTGAAAAATAAAGCACTGGTTTTAGTTCATAGCAGTCTTTTATTCCCCTGAAGCAGCTTGGATTCATGAAAGTGTGCATTTCCGTGTATCCATATTGCTTCCTTCCATTCTTATTTTTTCTGGGAGGAACAAAGAAAGTATACTTAATTAAATTCAGATTTTTTTTTTAGACTGTCTGTAAAGCACACAGATATAAGGTTTCTAAAATCTCACGTCTATTTTGTATTAAAAAGGTGTTATTATATGACTTTTTTTTTTTACATTCTTCTAATGCAAAATGTTGCTGAGTTGAAAAGCTAAAAGTCCACCCTGAAAGGGTTAATTCTCACTATTAGTAAGCACTGTTTTTGAAGTGTTCTGAGTTGTTTTCAGGGAATGTCACAATATTCAAATTTTAAATATTCTAAATAAAGGAAGCATATCAAAGGGGACAAGGCCTGGGTGAACTGTGTTGGCGTATTTTCATGTTGAAGAGAAGCCTTTTTATATATTTAAAATACTATTAATACATGTAAAAAATTACACCAATTATTTACATTCACATGTATAACCATTATGTGAATGCTTTTATTATTTATATATTTTAGTGTGTATATCTGCACTTTTTTTTAACATATCAGAACACAAATTTGCCTAATCGCATGGGTATGACATGGACATTATAAGGAGAGGGTGACATTTTTAAAAGGCTTATAAGTTATACAGATTTAATTTTTTTTTAAATTGGTAAAATAGCACACAGTTTCCTGTGAGGGATGGATTTAGGGACAAGGTAAAGTTTTACAGTATAAATAACACCTATGGAATGTCCCCACAATTCACAAAAACAAACATGCATGTGTGTATTTTTGACAAACTTGAATGGAGTTGAGGGAAAAGAGAAAACATTTAATATTAAGCTGGCGACAGATTTTTTTTTTTATACGTTTCTAAACATAATATTTTTAAAAACTCTTTCCTAATTACTGATTTATTTTATCTTTGCCATGATGACAGTAAATAATATTTGACTAGATATTTTTTAAGACACTTCTATACATATCTGTATATATGTGACATTTAAAGGCTTAACTAAGTTAACTAGGCAGGTTAGGGTAATTAGGTTATTAGTTATTGTATAATGATGGTTTGTTCTCTGTAGACTATTGAAAAGAAATAGCTTAAAGGGGCTAATAATTGTGACCTTAAAATGGTTTCAAAAAAATTAAAAACTGCTTTTTTTCTAGCCGAAATAAAAACAAATAAGACTTTTTCCAGAAGAAAAAATATTATCAGACACACTGTGAAAATTTCCTTCCTCCGTTAAACATAATTTGGGAAATATTCAAAAAAGAAAATAAATTCAAAGGCTAATAATTCTAACTTTAACTGTACAGATATACAAATATTTATTTATTTATTTACTAATTAGGGTTAAAATGTCAAAACCCATCTGGTGCCACCCGAGATGTTGCATAATGTGCATATTAGGACCTCTGTTATGATGGTTCCGTCAGGGCATCCACAAACAAAGATCACTGCATACTCTAAAGACAACAGAAATGTGTAATAACATCCTACCAGCAACCTTTGTATTCCCAGAAGCAAGCAGTCCCTCATACAGGCCCTTGGATGGGCTGCTCTCTTCGATCAGAATTCCATGAAGCCAGATTAACAGCATCCTGTTCCCATGCTCCTGAAAACTGTTCAGACCTAGATAGAAAACAGTACTAGAGTTTTTAAGGGGCCTCAAGAGTATCTGTAACATGTTTAATTATATTAGATTCTAAGAAATTAATATTAGAACAATATGAATTAATTTACTGTCAGCTGGAATTAGTTCAGAACATCCTTGGTTAATAAAAGTTGAAAATAAATAAATACAAAAATAATCCCCAAACTTTTGCATAAGTTTGTATTTTTTGGATGAAATATGATTCTTTCATCAGTTATTAATCTAAAGGCATCTTTACACAGCCAATTTAAGCCACCATAAACGCTCTGCATACTTACACATTTTTGTTAATTACGCTGTTTAAGATTTGGTTTCTGTGCCACTTTTGCTGTGTAAAGATGCTTTAAGGCCACATATGTATCTGTTTTAATGTGTTCAAATCCATCATTTAAAACTACATGTATTCGGATTGCCTAAAATGCATCTTAAAGGGATAGTATACACAAAAATAAAAATTCTGCCATTCTTTACTTTCACTCCACCTGTTTGACTTTTTTCTTTTTATTTAACACAAAAGAAGATCTACTAAAGAATGTTGAGGAAGAAAAAAAAAAACGCTTGACTTTTGTTCTTCCTACTATAGAAGGCTACAGAAGGCTTCTGAAATATTTCTAAAAGTTTTGATCTACTTTTTATTTTTGGGTGAACTATCCCTTTATTAAACGGACAAGATTGTCTGTTGGTGCTGCTGAAATGAGTTTTATTTTAAGACTCTTTCGAGTAAAAAAAAAAAGAGTAATATCTATACAAAATATCTGACCCAAAAGCACTTCTCTCTCTCTCTCTGACCTGTCCACTGCTCTTCAATGGCTGCCATCTGAGCATCTGTAAACTCCCAGTGCTCTGCCAGCTTCTTCCAGTCGTTGCGCTTGAGGTGTTTGTATGCGAGGTCCCACATTATATCACGAACCGGCTTCGTGTCAGGAGAGTGATCTAATTTAAACGTCAGCGGTGATTCGCTGTGAAGGCTCTCAATGGCATCTGTATTAGTCTGAAAGGGTAATCAAATAACAGCAAGCTCTGAGAAAGGCCAGATTTGCCAGGTACTGAAATTAGGTATACAGCACAGTGAATATTATTAGTCCATGTTCGCCGTTCGGAATAAACACTTTTGACATATGCAACCCTTGTGCGAATAAATATGCCGTGATGACCTTTCTGAATGAAATTACACATGCTTTAATATTGCATTACACCTCCTGCACTGGGTTTAATAGGGAATGGCTGTGGATCAGCATTGAGTCAGCACGTGACATTTGATGAGGGGAAAATCTGCTTCCCAACTTTTTCATTTCACAGTTTGCTTTGGCCAGCGTTAAACAAAACTGAACCATCTTCAATTTTTGATTTGTTTTACTTCTGTCAAATAAACATACATTTTTTTTATTTAAAAAAGGGTAACCAGAAATTGGAGTAACCAATAAAAATTTTTGTGACCTAGACAATACAATTTCACGGCAATTTGCAACTTTTTGATTTAGTAGCTAATTCCTATACAGCAAATATGTATGATGTCATTTTAGTACAATTTGCTTATCTCCCATCGACGGTTGGGTTTATGGGTGGTTTTTGGGGTTGTTGCTTGATCGAATATGGTGCGGACAGAAGTTAACGCAAATTATTTATAATAATATATTTTATATTTATTAAATTTACAATTTATTGTATTTTGTTAACATTTACCACCACCCCAAGCCTAAACCCAACTGTCACAGTAATGTAACAACAGTAGCTGTACCAAGTATTACGTATGCTATCTATTAAATTACCCAATAAATTGTATTTTCTATCGACTACCCCCACCCTAACCCTAAACCCAACTGTCAAAGTACTGTAAAAATATTAATTATTGTTATACAGTGTCATAAAAAAATGCTGCTATATTGATGTGCATATCTCACTTCCGGCCGGCCGCGTATCCGATCTAGACTTTACTGGTGTTTGGCCCCATGCCTCCTTTTTAAAATCGGACATTTTCATACGACAAAACGTAAAAAAGTTATGTTTCCCCATGACATGAGGGCCACCTAGACCACAAAACCAATCAAAAGTGTCAGTTTATCAGCACCTGAACAAATAATACTAAATCTATAACAAAATAATAATAAGCTGAATAAATGAGGTTTCCATTAATTTCTATAGTTTGTTGCTATAAGACAGCATTTGGTCAAGATGCAAGTAATTGAAAATAGGGAATCTGAGGGTTCCATAAAATGAAAATTCAGAAAAATGGGTTTAAAATTAGTAAATGCACATTATTAATAATAAAAAAGGTTTTGATATATTTACAGTAAAAGAATTTACAAAACTATCTTCATTGGACATGAAAGATGAATCAATAATATTGCAGAGTTTCAAATCTAAGACTTTTCATAAGTTAAAGAGCTAAACACTAAGGATTTTGCTAATGGCCAGGTTGTTTTTAAATTTTTTTTTTTTATCTTGCCACAACAGCAAAAAAAAAACTTTATTTAGTTATTTTTTTTAGCCACATGGTTTAATGTTATAGACACGATTACATAAATGATCAATTTGTCGGCATTTGTCTGAATGGATTGAGTATAACTTCTATTCAACATAATACTTTTCTGTTATAAAAGATTGCCTATTCCGTGTTTATTTGTAAATATTATGTCTGCCCCCCCTCTTACTTCTGTAAATAGTTTTTGTGTTAATGGAAGATCATGTAAAGGGAAAAATTGCTCTGTTGTTATTATGAGGAACTGTATAAATGTTTGGTTTTTAATATTCTTTCCCTGATTAGAGAATTAATTTTGAGCAATTTGCTGTAAAAATGTATAATATGTAATTGTTGGTGTCTGGTAGGCCCACAAATCTTTGCGTTCAAAAATCCACAGATTTTTAGCCCATCATTTAGTACTTGTGTAAATGTGTGTACATTTATATTTATTCAGTTATTAAATTAATTTCAGTAATAATATTGTGAAATAATAATAGTAATATGAAAATGTTCATATGATTTACTTACAGTTTGTAAAGTAGAGTTCCACACTTGGAACAAGTGGATCTAGATGGATTTGCATTGTAAACATTACATAAAAGTTTATTTCATATATTACGTTTTTAGTTATGATACTTCTTAAATCATTCCGCATAAATCTGCAGTTTTTTTTTTTTTTTTTACAAAATCCTCCACAGAGATGGCAAAAAAACATCCGCAGATTCAGTCTGGGATGTTGAACCGATTAGATAGCTATGCTTGAACAAAAAAACTGAAAAACATTAAGACCTGTTTAAAATGTTTTAAGACCTACAACACAATACTTCAGTGAATTTAAGACTTTTTAAGGTGTAAAATTTTGCTTTTGAAATTTAAGACATTTTAAAACCGCCTTTCCACTGCACACAGCAAGCGACAAACCGGAAGTCATTCAATTACAATAGAGAGTAGTCCAGGAGCTGCGTGGAGTTCCGATCATCTTCGTATGCACAAAATTCAGATTAGTTTTGAGCTGCGGATACGTTGAAATATTTTAACTCCTGCGACTAGACCAGGGGTGTCAAACTTTTTGGGCCGAGGGCCAGATGCAAAAAAACAAACGTTGTCGCGGGTCAAATTTTACATACATCACACAGACACATGTGTATATATATATATATATATATATATATATATATATATATATATATATATATATATATATATATATATATATATATATATATATATATATGTATATATATATATATAAATACAGTTGAAGTCAGAATTGTAAGCCCCCCTAAATTATTAGCCCCCGTTTATTTTTTCCCCAATTTCTGTTTAACGGAGAGAAGATTTCTAAACATATTAGTTTTAGTAACTTATTTCTAACTGATTTATTTTATCTTTGCCATGATGACAGTAAATAATATTTGACTAGATATTTTTAAGACACTTCAATACAGCTTAAAGTGACATTTAAAGGCTTAACTAGGTTAATCAAGTTAACTAGTTAAGTTAAGGTATTTAGGCAAGTTATTTTATAACAATGGTTTGTTCTGAAGACTAAAAGGGCTAATAATTTTGACCTTAAAATGGTTCATAAAAAAATTTAAACCGCTTTTTATTCAAGCCGAAATAAAACAAAAGTCTTTCTCCAAAAGAAAAAATATTATCAGACATACGGTAAAAATGTCCTTGCTCTGTTAAACATCATTTGGGAAATATTTAAAAAAGAAGAAATAAATGAAAGAGGGGCTAATAATTCAGACTTCAACTGTGTATAGATAGATAGATAGATAGATAGATAGATAGATAGATAGATAGATAGATAGATCATAACAAGAACTGCTGCTTAATTGAATGCATGTAATAGCGACACCCGGTGGTTATTTATTGAATTACGTTCATTTTTGTATAGCGGGCCAGATTCTATTGATATTTATAAAAAGCCTCGCGGGCCGCCACAAAACTGATTGCGGGCCGCAGATGGCCCGCGGGCCGTAGTTTGGACACGCCTGGACTAGACCATATGCAACTGGCCGACCGCATGTGATGTATTCAAGTGTTGTCCAAGCAGGTCCGTGTGCGCGAGATACATAAAATACATTAAAAAAAACATTGCTGTTCATAAATGAGTAATTTAAAAAAAAAATAGTTTTAATGTTGTCTCCACATTCCCTTCAAAACTTTTAGCAGTCTATGAGTTTCTAGTGTTCAACCATGGTGAACGCACGGAGAATAAAGGCTCTTGCTTTTGCACTCCTTTATTATAGACACTGCAAGAACAGCTTCTCTTCCATGGTGCACGACAAAACTGAAAAATCTGTGCGACTGCCACACGGGTGCGTATTCCGAAAGTAGTGTCCAAATGTTGTGCGCACTGAAAAGGCGGCTTAAGACTTTTTAAGACCCTGAGGCCACCCTGTATTGACCCAAAGATACCCCTGCAACAATTTTATTGTCCAGGTTGTTTGTATTTACAGTAGCACTGGGCCGATAAATGAAATTATATCGAATGGCGATAAAATTTGTCAATAACTATGATAAATTCTGGACTTTGTTTACTCTATATTGAGCTAAGAGCCAATCACAGAGTCGAAATGTGCAACAAGTGTGTTTATATTAGAGATGTACTGAATTAGGCCGAAAATGTTATGCCATTTACAGGACCCTCTCATTTTTGTGGCTTTAGTCATTGTTGAGGGGGGTGGTGGTGAGCGATGTGATGTGCGAACTGAAGAGCGGGGGTGGGTGAAATTCCGGGAGTTTTCAGGGAGACAGAGCAAAACGGGAGATAGGTCTGAAATACGAGTGTTGGCAGGTATGGTATTGTGTACATTGACAATTCTGTCAAGAACATGCTACTGATTGTTAAATTTGATACGTCAGTAATGAATAAAGAAAAGTGAAAATACCCACAATTTGTAAATTGTCTTTCCATTTGAAATATCTCTCAGCTTTGATGATCATGTCCACAATGATCACCATATTCCCTCTTGCCGCCACTCCAAGAGCTGTTTTATTTTGCTGTGAAACAAAATAGAAAGTGTAAAAATACCTTCTCCTACATGGCCTGCTTTGAAGCCATTACCGGGCTCTGTAAAATGTCAGATACGCTCTGTCACCCTGTCCCGAATCTGCAGATCCACCCCGGCTTTCAGAATCATCTCGACCACATCCACCTTCCCCATCTCAGCAGCGATATGAAGCGCAGTCTGACCCATCTGAGTGTGTTGAATCAATAAGAAAAGGCTGAAACATGTGCATGAGGTGACAAATTTTCTTATAAAAAAACATGACTGAAAGTAGATACCGCACATGATCTGTTAGGTTCGGATCACAGCCAGCCTCCAGTAAGGTGTGGATTACTGGAATATGACAGTTCCTCACTGCCAGATGGAATGAAGTTTGCATTTGCTGAAATGATAAATCAGTTATTAAATCAATCTCTATTGTTTAATTCAGTTGTTCCCAATACTTTACAAGATTTTTCAAACTTAGTCAAAGTAAATCAACACTAAGCAAGTCAATACTATAGGCAGCAGGGAAATAACAGCATTTGTTGCAAGTTTCTCACCTGGTTTTGAGCATTAATCTGGGCTCCGCTATTGATGAGGAGCTGGACAATCTGAAAATGGCCCCTCTCACAGACTGGATGCAGAGGGCTGTTTCTGCTCTGAAAATGACCACAGATAACTATTCTTTTGGAAGCATGAATGAATACATTTCAAAATAAAGGTCTTTTATTGACATAAATGGCTCCTTGTAAAGGCTTTAAAGAATTAGTTCACCAAAAAAGGTAAATGCTGTTGAAAAACATTTGAAGCTCTAAAAATATTTGCATGCACCAAATTAAAACAAAAATACATGCATACATATATAAATAACAACTTTTCTTTAATGTCTTTTTTTTTTGTTTACAGGTTTTCTTGGGGAAATGAAAGCTTTTAAAGCTTTGTATGATTACTGTTGAACCACTGAAGTCACATGGGATGTTTTGACAAGGTTTTCATTGCTTTTCTTTGCTGACTTTGGAGGATGAGAGAGCTATCTGATTTCATCTAAAATATAATTTGTGTAACAATGATCTCAGGAGAGACTAAGCTGAAGGATAGTGTGTAAGTTATTAGCAAAATGTATATAAGTTAGGTCATTGGTTATTTGGACATCAACACAATTCTAACATTTTGAGGCCTGGAACACATAGACTTCACCAGAAGCTGGGTTTCATCCCTGGTGGTGCTCTGCCAGGCCTCTACTGCAACTGTCTTCAGTTCCTGCTTGTTCTTGGTGCATTTTCTCCTCAGCTTTGTCTTCGGGAAGTTAAGCTCAGTTGGATTTAAGTCAGGTGATTGACTTGGCCATTGCAAAACATTCTACTCCTTCCCATTCTAAAACTCTTTGGCTGCTTTTGCAGTATGCTGTAGGTCATTGACTGTGACCATCTGCTCTGTGAAGCGCCATATAATGAGTTCTGAAGCATGATTTGGCTGAATATGAGCAGAAAATATTGACTGAAACACTTCAGAATTCAACCCACTGCGTTTGTCAGCAGTCAAATCATCAATAAATACAAGAGAATCAGTTCTTTTGACAGCCATACATGTCCATACCATGTCACTACCATCACCATGCTTCACTGCTTAGGATCATGAGCAGTAACTTTCCTTCTCCATACTCTTCCTATCACTCTGGTACAAGTTGATCTTGATCTCATCTGTCTATAGGATGTTGTTCCAGCACTGTGAAGGACATTTATCTGGCTTTCCTGTTTTTCAGGCTCACCAATGGTTTACATCTTGTAGTGACCCTCTGTATTCATTCTGTTGTAGTCTTCTCTTGATTGTTGGCTCTGACACGCATACACCTACCTCCTGGAGAGTGTTCTTGATTTGGCCTGTTGTGAGGGGGGTTTTCTTCACCAGGAAAATAATTCTTTGGTCAGCCACCACAGTTGTTTTCTTTGTCTTCCGGGTCTTTTGGTGTTGCTGTGCTCACTGGTGCGTTCTTTCTTTTTAAGAATCTTCCAATCAGTTGTTTTGGCCACGCCTAATGTTTTTACTATCTCTCTAATGGATTTGTTTTGTTTTTTTCAGCTCAATGATGACTGATAGTGACAGCTCTTTGGATCTTATTTTGAGAGTTGGCAGTAACATATTCCAAATGCAAATAGCACACTTGAAATGAACTGTGGACATTTTATCTGCTCATTGTAATTGGGATAATGAGGAAATAACACACGCATGGCCATGGAACAGCTTAGAAGCCAATTGTCCAATTACTTTTGGACCCTTAACAAGTGGGAGGCACATATGCACACTGTTGTAATTTCTACACCATTCACCTGATTAGGATGGAAGTTTGATTTCAGATCTATTGTGTTAGTGTATTCACCTTATTCTCAGCTGTCGAGTGGGCGCTGCCATTTGAATCTTTTTGTCTCGCGACTTCCGGTCACATTCACTTCCATTCATTTTTTGACGTTAACAACTGCTCGTTACGCTGCTTGATGTTGCAATTTAATATTTTCTTATTATATTATGCTACTTGGTCTGTGTAGTCATGCAAACATTTGTTTGTTGAGCAAGTAGTTTGGCCATTTTCTGCCGTTTATTATTCCTAGTCATTTCTCCAATAGGCGACTGAATCGGAAGTTCTAAGACAATCGCGAAAACAGGCGCACTTCCGCATTTTAGAATAAGGTCAATAGAGCCAAAAATGTTAGAATTGTGTCCTATTGTGTCCGATGTCCTAATATTTATGGACCTGACTGTACAAAAGGGAAGAGGATTGGATTATTTGAAGAATATTTATGAAACAAAGGCTATTTTGGTTCTTCTTATCGCCTTTTCTAAGTGCATATTTATACTTTCACTCATAGAAGAACCAATTGAGCTCATTAAGAGTCATTATTCAGAGGTGGACATTTAAAACATAGTCGGCACGTACCAAGGTGAAGATGTTTGGGTCACATTGTGCCTCCAGCAGGGTTTGTACACAGTCCTCATGAGCTCCATCGGCAGCTAAATACAGAGCAGTCTGTCCAGCCTACAGACACCACAAAAACACCGGTTTCCTCTCGCATGCCTCCCCTGTGTGTTTTTGGTACAAGCACTGATAACAAACATTCAATCTGTATTTTTTACAGTCAATAGGACAGGTTTATACCTGGTTGACCTCATTTCGAATGTGGAAGTTTTCTAGAAGTAACTGCAGTGCTTCACGTTGACCGTGTTTCGCTGCCAGATGCAGAGGGGTGTCTCCAACCTGTCCACCAGAAGGGAATTACAGTCAAATCAGTTCCGCTGAAAAAGGATTGGAGCTGGGAATAGTTTATTCAAAAAAGGACATTTTGCCATTATCTGCTCATCCTTCACTTGTTTTAAACCTGTCTGAGTCCTTCTGTTGAGATATACTGAAGAATGCTGGGAAAGAAACACCCATTGACTTCCAATGTATTTTTGTTCCTACTATGGGTGCTTTCCCAATAGTCTTTCAAATTTCCTGTTCTTTTGTATATATATACACTCAACAGCAATAAACTTTAAGTGCTCACTCTACAAATAAAGAACAAAATCACATATAGACATGTTTTCTTGCAGTAGCTTGTTAAAACAGTCACTTTCACCTGTTCATGTAATTGGTCACACTTTAATTTGATGGTCCGTTTGTTGAATTTAAGTTACATTGCATCTACATGCCAACTAATTCTCATTAGGTTATAGGTAGATTGTTAGGTTGGGGTTAGAGTTAGTGTAAGTTATAATGTACTTGCAAAGTTTCTTGTAGTCAGTTAAATGTCATTAACAACATATATTAAGCAGACAGTCTACTAATACTTAAAAAATATATCAAAATAAAGTGTTACCATTTAATTCAGTGTTTCTCAACTACTATCCTGGCGGATCACCTGGGGCCTCATGTACGAAGACTTGCGTGGAAATCTTACTAAAACATTGCGTACGCACAAAGCTGTAAATGTGCGTACGCAGAAAAGAATTCAGATGTATGAAACACTGCGTACGCCGAATCTCACGCATATTCTTTTTTACATCTGAATGAACGTGAAACTGAGCGCAACATGCACGAGCACAAAACCCCTCCCTGGCCCCTCCCCCGTATGAATATGCTAATGACTATGCTAATGGCAAAACCCAACGAAAAAGCAACGGCAAAAACAGAAACTTTGAACAGAATGTGAATTGGAGGTGCTGCTTTCGGAGGTAGACCGGAATTCTCCGGAATTAACAACAAAAGAAAAAAATAGAGTGGGAGAGTTTAGCTGATACGGTTAACACAGTTGGGTCTGAACATCGCACTGTGCATTTAAAAAAGAAATAGTGTGGTTTATAACTGAAAACTGTTGCGATACCCTAAGCGGTCTCAGTGGCGCACCTCATAAGAAGCACGAGATCATGAACAAACATATTCGAGCGTAAACTCGGCTCGAATCCAGCGTCTGATAAATTCTTTCTTCTTTTTTCCCCCGCTACATATCAGATTTTGCCTACTATTTATCACGAGAAAGACAAGTAGGAATCATCAATAAGTTTGTGCATCATATTTTATTTGCACATTTATTGAATGGAAATGTTTCTGATTCACGCATGCAAATTCATCTTCAGATAGTGTCTTTATAGCAATGTGTGTGCGGTAGATAGCTCAGATTACATTGGGAAAACAGGCGACTGCTGCAATTTGCGCTTTAATGTTTGGCTGGTCAACTGTATGGTATGGAAATCTTACATACCTACTATATGAACCCGTCTCATACAGCTGCCATTGCAAGGATCAGACACTTTGTAGAGAGGAATTTAACACAACTGCCTCTAGGAGTCGCCAATGGAAATAAAACAGACACGCACAAAAAATGTGCGTACGCCTGCCAGAAAGCTGCCGTGAACCTGCGCACATTCCCACGTTCAGTTCATTGTTAGTAAATCCAAACATGAGCGATTCTGAGCGTGAAACCTGGCGTACGCAAAGTTTTTGTGCGTACGCAGCGTTGATACATGAGGCCCCAGCTCTGCACATTTTCCAGGTCTCCTTAATCAAACACACCTGATTTAGATCATCAGCTCATTAGTAGAGACTGAAAAACCTGCAATTGGTGTGACAGACAAAGGAGACATCCATATTTTCAGCTTCTCAGACACACAAAGAGCATTTTTAAAGGTATCTACATGTTAGTCAGTTTCATTCAGAGTGTTTGTAAGATGTTTTCCTAAAGGTTTTACTATACAACGGTCTGCTTTTTCTGTTGAGATTTGTGGCCATGGTGGCCATTTTGAAGTCGGCCATCTTGGATCCAACTTTTGCTTTTTCAATAGGAAGAGGGTCATTATTGGGAAATTCACAAGAAAAACAATGATGTGCTTGGTTTTAACGTAACTTTATTCTTTAATGAGTTATTTACAAGTTTCTGACCACTTATAAAATGTGTTCAATGTGCTGCCCATTGTGTTGGATTGTCAATGCAACCCTCTTCTCCGACTTTTCACTCGCTGATACCACAGGAGCAATGCCAGCACAGGCTTCCAGTATCTGTAGTTTCAGGTGCTGCACATCTTGTATCTTGTAATGTAACCCAGATAATTAAACATTACTCTAAGTGTCATTCTGGATTTTTTGTTTTATTTTAAGGATTTTATGTTTTTTTTTCGTTTTAAATAAAGTTGTATAAACTTTGTATAGTTTATGTGAAATGGACATAAAATGTGCTCCTAATTGCGTCTAACTTGATGTTTAACCTGTGACATGCTCAAATCTGATTGGCTGAAGGACATGCCTGAGTGACAGGACTGGGGAGAGAGAGGAGGTATTTTGGAGTGAATGCGAAAGGAAGAGAGAGAGCTGAAAGAAACGTGCAAGAGTGTTTCACGCTGTTCTCTTGACTATTTTTCTTTTTTTAAATGTAGCGTTTTTGTCACAAGACTGTGAGAACCACGTGCGGTTACCGAGTCAATGGACCGGTTTGATGTGAACTGCAGAGATCGGACATCGCGGGGAGATGACGGGAGATTAACGAATGCTGAGACTTTTAACGCTAGATCCTATCATCCCAAAAACGTTCATCTCGAAACAATCGTTGTTTCTGCTGACTGCGTTGGACGAGTTTGCACCTGTTGTGTCATCTGCTCAAGTCGTCGCCGTCTCGTGGGTCAGCTGGATCAAGCAGAAGCATCGTTTTGATTTGTGAGTACATTGTATTTACTCGTTAGAGTGAAGGGGCATTTGATTTGTGCCACAACGCTCCCAAGCATCGTCCAGGCCTGCAACGAAGGGGTGTTTATTTACATTTGTTCCTTTGTTTTACACACACATATTGAGTTTAGGCCCAGTGAACATTACTCTTAAATGAATGCTGTGTGATATTAAATATAGGGAAATAACCATTTGCCTGTGACTGTTCAGTATTAAGGACTTTAAATGGTTCTTGGTTTCTGTTGTAAGGAAAACCATTAATTATTGTTTTAGGACTTTCTGCAAAGCTATTTTGTTTATACTCATAAATTAGTTATTTTCAATCTGATATTTCAGAAACAAATTGTATCACTATAAAGTGACCTTTATATATTAAAATGAGACAGACACGTTTATTTTTGAATAATTGTATTTTATTTTATTATTTTTGTATTCTTGTCATGTTAGATGAGACACTTATAACTACTGGGTGTGAGTTTGCTATTCATTTTATTTGTATCCCATTTTATTTTTTTTCTCTCCATTTATATTCCGTTAAACAATATTACAACTGGTTTAAAGGTGAATTAAAGGATCCGTTTTACTAACTTTCATTTTTTGTCATTTGTCTAATTGCAAATTTATTTATTCTGCAAACTGAACCCAGAGCCCTCTTTCTGTGTCAAGTGAAGAGAGAGCTACAGATTTACTATTAAAGTTCAGAGATAAAACTTATTTATCTCAGGAGTTTCCCTAAATGAAAATCTTAAAGGAATAAACACATTGAGAATGTTTATTTGCTGAAATTTTGAAAATCTTTATATATATATATATATATATATATATATATATATATATATATATATATATATATATATATATATGTGTGTATATATGTGTGTGCAACATATATTTGTAAAGTCTTTTTGGATAGTATTTTGAAAAAGGGGAAAACAATAAATTGTTGTATGAATGTTGTAATTTTTAAATAATTTTCCATTAAAAACGCGTGACTTGGTCACATGACCACCAGGAACAGCCAGGGAAGAGAGCAGCATCTCATTTCTCACAGGACGCGTTCTCTGTTCTCGCGGTCTCCCGAGTTCGTTCTTCTAAGGTGACCTGGCAAGACTGGTCTTAACAAGAATGCAAGTCCATTCTATGCATTCTTGGAATTGAGAAACAGCCGAATAGTGCCTAAAGCAGGGCTGTCAAACTCCGTTCCTGAAGATCCTCAGACCTACGCAGTTTAGTTCCAACCCTGCTTCAACACACTTGACTGTAGATTTTAAACAAGCCTGAAGGACTTTATTAGTTTGATCAGGTGTGTTTAATTATGGTTTAAGCTAAACTGTGCAGAGCTGTGGCCCTCCAGGAACTGAGACTGACATCGCTAGTCTAAAACATAAACGCTCTAAAAAGACGTGTGTGTGTATACATCACATTTTCATTTTTGGTGTGAACTATCTCTTTAAATAAAGAGAAACTAAAGGATGCAATAAACAGACCTGATTTTCCTCCATGGTGGCCATGTTGTAGTGCTCCTCCATCAGCATCTGTAGCATGGGAACACAGCCGTGTGCTGCGGCCAGGACAAAGGGCCTGTTACCAAACTAACAGAAAAAAACAACGTCAACCTTTATGTTTTACACTTTTGGTGGTTGTAATTTTGATACTTTAAATTCTTCAGAAATTTTTCATTCATGTTTCGGTTCTGAGATAAGCTGATGTTTTCTTACCTGATCTTCTTTGTCCAATTCTCCCATCTGCAGGTCATCAATGATGTACGCTACAATATCAGTGTGATTATTCATGGCAGCGCAGTGCAACATGTTCAGACCTTCCTAAGTGAGCAAACAACCACTTGCATTAAAATGTAACACTACTATGAATAAGCTAAGTGAGATGTTATATTATTAGAATGTTGGGTAACACTTTATAATAACTACACACAACCATTGATTAAGCATTAATAAACTTGAATAATTATACGTTACAAATGTCAACTAAAAGCTTAGTATCAAATGAACAATAATCATTGCAATCTTATGCAAAAAGTAAAATTACTGTAAAGTTTGAACATTGCAGAATATCAGGAGTGTCAAAATATGTCAAAAATTTGATAAAACAACAATATAATAATTTAACATTATAATAAGATGCAATGTTTAAACCTTACAGTAATTTTATTTTAGAGAAGGTTGCAAAGATCTTTTTTTTCATTTGAAGAATTGTGTCATTGTGTCTCTTCAAACAAATAGAAATGACTAATGTCGTTATGTTCTTTTTTTCTTGTGTAGAATATAACTGAGCCTTTAATAGTCATTTATAAGGGATTTATAAAGCATAACTAGTCCTCACTTTTAGATTAGGTCACAAAACTGCATGAAATTGAGTTAATAAAGGATTTATTAACGTACAAATTAACTAATAGTATATGCCTGAATAATAAAATATATAAATGTCAATATGAATAGTTTATTAATCATTTACTAACTCATTCTGAATGATCTTCAATGTCCACGTCTTAATTCCATTCGTGTTTACAACAATTATGACTTTCAGCATATCTAAATTGCTATTCCAAGGCATGATTATGAACCACAGTTTGTGTGGCTGAAGTTGTAGCCTCAGATTAGCCAATCTTTAATGCTAATTTTAGCCCCATGCTTCACCATAACATCACAACTTTTTCACCTTGATGAGAAATCTCGTGAAATCTCGTCACACCCCTACTGAAAAATTAAGCGTCCCACCGGTTTGTAAAGATAGGACAATGATTGGGCGGGATAATCTGAAGTTTCAAATTATTGAGAAAATTGCCCTTGAAGATGTCTCTCTTGCATAAGTAAGCTCTTATGCATATTACTGTAAATAAATCAAAACTTAATTTGTAAGTAGTAAGAAATATAAAAAGTCAATTAAACACAATATTAACCCAATAATCTCATGTTTAATGTGTAGTGTTTGGTAAAACAACAGCAATAATAATAATAATAATAATATTAATAATAATAATAATTTTAACTCACACAGTGTATACTTGGCTATTCTGACAAATATACCTGTGCAACTTAAGGGCTAGCTCATCCAAAAATTAAAATGTATTCACTATATTTACTCAATCTCGAGCGGTTATAAACTTTATACATTTCCATTGTCTGTTGAACACAAGATGATATTTTTAAGAAGTTTGAAAAGCTGTAACAACTGATTTCTGTTGTAGATAAAACAAATAAGTCAATGGTTAAAGATTTCCAGCTTTCTTCACTGATTACATGTATGTTTAATAGAAGAAAGTCAAACAAGTGACGGGAGAGGAAATGATGTCATAATATTCATTTTTTGGATAAGCTATGCCTTTAGGGCTAGTTTTGTGTGTCCCATTTGTCACAAGAAAAGTTTAAAGTTATTTAAAATATAATGCATTTAGTATGGCCACTCCCGTCAAATTTTATTATTTACATCTTAGTAAGTACAGGTCTGAATAAGAATGTTCATTTTCCCCATAAATATAATGAAATAGAACGTTGTTTCACCTATATTTTGACAATTTCAGCAAAAAAAATAAAGTCGACATTTGAGACAACCTGGGTTTAATAAGCTTTTTATGTATGAGATGCTATGTTGATCAGTGACATGAATTTGTTTCTTAAGCAAACAGCTCACCGTATTTTCAATGCTTTGGTCGGCTCCACCTTGCACGAGAAGCTTCAGAATTTCTAAACTCCCAAACCATGCAGCTAAGTGAACAGCAGTCAGTCCGTGCTGCAGAATCACGTTATAAATACTTTATTGACATTATGGGAAACAGTGTCAATCATTAATGTTTGGGCAAACACACCTTATCTTGTAGATCTAGTTTGGCTCTCCTTCGAAGGAGCACATCAACAGCTTCCACATTTCTGCAGGCCACAGCGTAATGAAGAGCAGTTCGACCATGCTGAAATCAGACACAAGACAAACAACAAACTCGACAAATCCTGCCTTTACAGTAACACTTATTAAACCAAGACTGTGAACTTTTTTTGGGGGCGGGGTATGATTCTTGATTTTAGTTTAAGGAGTTCAGTTACTAAAAGATGAATGAATTTGTATATGCCGATATTATGTAATGTAACATTCTTGAACATTCATAATATTGTTACTGTGGACACAAATTACTGTGATTATTTATTATTTTGGCCTTTTATGAATCTGTTTTTTTTTATTCTGTTTATCCAATTTTTCACACCCCATAATGCTATGCGTAAATTATAGGAGCAACTTCTGTAATTGTAAGCAATCAGTAAAATGCTTGTCTGCTACCATCAGAAGCCTAAAAGGATTTTAAGGGAATAAAGAAAAGAAAGAAGGCTTTTTTTATTTATTTTCAACAGTTTCAAACATTTTTATGCCTAATGAAATATGAATAAGTATGAATATGGGCATTTGTGAACCTAGACCAGAAAACCAGTTTTAAGTTGCACATGTATATTTGGGTTAAAATGATTGATTTTTTCAAAATAAGTTTTTTTGCCAAAAAAATAGAATATTAATTAAAGATCGTGGGCTATGAACACATTTTGTAAATTACCAGCTGTATGTAAAAAAAAAAACAAAGGGCTATATTTTAACGATCTAGGTGCAAAGTCTAAAGCGCATGGCGCAAAAGCATTAGAAGCATGTCCGAATCCACTCTTGCTATTTTAAGGATGGAAAAATACGCTTTGCATTGCGGCGCATGGTCTAACAGGGTTATGATTTTTCTCCTAATAAGTTATGGGTGTGTTTCGAGCATAACGTGCTTTTAAACCAATCAGAGTCTCCTCTCACATTCCCTTTAAGAGTCAGTTGTGATGCCCCATGATGCATTTGCTATTTACATGGTGGACTTTGTAAGTAAAAAAAACTGAAAGCTTCACTAGCAGGAAAACAGTTAAACCATCTGCAGCACAAGGATAAAGAATGAGCCTCCTCCATTCGGCCCCTTTACTTTCTTTTTTACTTTTACTCTTTACTCCTTTAGTTTTGTGGAGTAAGGAAACAGTGTTGTACGGACTACACTGAAGACATCTATTAGCCTACATATTTAATTTTAAGCACAAAGATTTGTTTGAAAACTATTTCTAAATTTAGTTCTAATTTCCAGCAAACAAATAAATAACCAATAATAATGAAGTGTGGTCAGTTGTATCCAAACACACGTCCTATTCTTATGCCCCATATGGTGATGCGTATGTCTCCAAAACCTGACAGGTGGACAAATCTAAACTTATTTTTATTAAAACTAATATGAATATGCATATAATAAATAATACTGATAATAATAATAATAATAATAATTATAATAACATTATACAAATGCAATTAGTCATGAATAAACTGAAAAAAGCTGGAACTGAAACTGAAAAAAAAGGTTTTTATTTTAATGTTTTTTTTATGTAAAGATATGTGTGTGTAGCTGCACATCCTGTTGGTATTAAGCAATGTGTAAGTGCTTGGACCTGCATAGGCGCATCACTAATGCTCTCTGTGCTGGACTTTAGAGCAGCGTTTAGTTGGTCAGTGCACCTTAACACACCTCTTTTTTAAAGCGAGACACCCATGAGTCCACAAAGTGATGCAAATGGATTTGCTACTTTAACAACGTTGTGCAAAACGTGAAAAAAAGGGTTGCGCTGGACTAAAAAAAGCAACAAATCACCCCAAACATGTCTTATGTCTTGCACCTTATTGTGCCGGGTGTATGATAAGGCCCAAATTGTCTTAATGATCTTAAACTTCTTGATTATTTTGAGATTCCAGATATTCAGATAATTGTATCACTAACAAACCATACATCAATGGAAAGATTTTCAGGTGTTGTATAGGCCAATTCTGTAAAAACTGACACATATAACTGAAGTTGCGGTTCAGGGGTCACATTAATGTTACACAAACTAACCAAGTGTTCAGTCAAATTCTAAATGAATCATGCTATAGTGTAAAACCCCCAAGAAAGATGCGCACATCTTGACTCTTTATTTTCCAAAATAAATAAATAAATAAAAAGATTCAAAGGTTTGATTTGTCATCTCAGTCAATTGACAGTGATGATGTTATAGGCAAGTCTAACATCTGATTTAACTTAAACACGAACAGTTAAACAGAGCCGCATCAATACCAAATACTCAGGTGGAGAGTTTGAGCATTATTGGGCGTCTATGTCAATAACTACAGTGGTTATGCAGCTCTGCATTAATCAAATATTAGTGTGTCAAGAGGTAAGTGTGCTTTGAGCAGTTTATTGACATACCACATTCTTGGCATTAACATTAACGCCTCTTCCGAGAAGTTTCATTCCCTCCACGTCGTTTCTCTTTGCTGCTTCTATGAAGTCTTTCTCTGTTTCCAGCACTGTAGATCAAACAATCAGTTAAACAGACTAGCTACTTCACACATGCGTATTAAAGAAGACCTATTATGGCCATTGCTACAAGATGTAAAATAAGTCTCTGATGTGCCAAGAGTGTGTATGTGAAGTTTCACCTCAAAATACCACACAAACGTTTTTTTTTAACTCTTTAAAACTAACCCTTTTAGGCTTTGATCAACATTGTGCCACTTTAAATTCAAATAAGATTGTGCTCTTTTCAAAAGAGGGTGGAGCTAGAAATGCCTGTGTGTCAGCATAGTGGCAGATTCAAAAACAAAACTAATGTCCTATGCTAATGAGGGAGAGATGGTCACTAATGGGTGTGGCTTCCCCCTCTGATGCCATGTACAAAGGAAGAATGTCAATCAAAGTGTAGTGTATAAGTTTTTGTAAAGTGTGATAATGAAAATGTATAAATGTTTACAATTAGAGACTATAACTGTTGCCACATTTCTGTGTTAAAACACTTTATAAAAGTGATGTTTGCATAATAGATCCCCTTTAAGTTGGAACCCTTAGTATTGGGATGTATTGCATGGATTAACTTAACCCCCTTAATTTTGATTCAACATTAGGTAATCTCAAATAATGTACTATAAGTGTATTTTTAAAGTGCTTCATAAGAAGTGATATTATAACTACAGGGAAAAAATAAGTGACTTATTATTAAAGTAACTACTATTTTAATTGTTGTTTAGAGAGATGAGCAAATATCACTGAGTATAGTTTGTTTTAGGCGTTGACTTAAAGGATTGCTGAATGACATCATGTCAAAAGTGTGATGAATGTCAGACCTGCCAACAGAACACTCTCTGTACATGCATGATTTTTATATTATCAAATATTCCAGGTTTAAAACACAACCCTAAAAGCACACATACGTCACAGAGATGTCTATTGGATGCTTGTGTTTTCATCTGGAAGAATGTATGCTAGAAGCCTTATTACACATCAGACCATTTAAAGATGCTTATGATCTTTAAAATACATCTTACAGACATGTATGCGTGATATCTGGGAACCCACAGAATTCAAGGCTTACTATTGGCACATACAGAAAATGTGGTTAATTATTCAATTCATCCATTTTCTTTTTGGCTCGGTCCCTTTAACCAGGGGATACCACAGCGAAATCAACCGCCAACTTATCCAGCTTATGTTTTACGCAGCAGATGCCCTTCCAGCCGCAACCCTACACTGGGAAACACCCATTCACTTTTGCATTTAATTATTAAATAGTACAGCAAAAAATAATGATGGGTTTCTTTTATTTCTTTTAACCGCGGTTATATGGTGAGGCAAACTGAAACAATTTTGGGTCATTTTAAAGCAGAAATTTTATAATGAACTTGTGCGAACTGGGACAAAATATAGTACTTTCTTTTTTAGCCCAAACTAAGACAACTCAACTACAAGTGAGTTTAGTTTTTACTGATGTAGAAGGTTTAAAAAAGTATAGATTTAGTAAATTGGATTGAACTTTGCAAATAAACAGTTTTTACACACCTTTTACGTTTTGTTGTCATTATATCAAAGCAAATACCTCAACCTGGATTTTATTTTATTTAGAACTTTATTCCACAAATAATTGAAATTATGAGAAAATTTTTTAAAAATATTTTGCAATTGATGTTTAACAGAGCAATGAAATTTTCACAGCATGTCAGATAATGTTTTATCTTCTGGAAAAAGTCTTATTTGCTCTTTTTCGGCTAGAATAAAACTATAAAAGCAGTTTTTTATTTTTTAAACACCATTTTAAGGGCAATTATTAGCCCCTTTAATCTATATTTTGTTTGATAGTCTACAGAACAAACCATCATTATACAATAACTTTCCTAATTACCCTAACCTGCCTAGTTAACCTGATTAAGCCTTTAAATGTCACTGTAAGCTGTATAGAAGTGTCTTAAAAATATCTGGTAAAATAGTATTTGCTGTCATTATGGCAAAGTTAGAATAAATCAGTTATTAGAAAAGAGTTAAACTATTGTGTTTAGAAATGTGCTGAAAAAATTTGCTCTCCATTAAATAGAAATTGGGGAAAAAACAAATGGGGGATAATAATTCTGATTTCAACTGTGTTAATTATGAGCACAACTTGTTTCTCACATTACCTAATACTGTACATTTTTATCAATTACGTGTAAAACAAAACCCTGTTGGCACATTCAAGCAGGAAGGTACTTACACATCTCCTTATTGTCATAACCTCCATCTTCACCAATGTCCTTCGGTAGTATAAATTCAGCAAAACCTTTGCTGTGGTCTGTTTTTATCCATGTTTTGGGATTAAGGTTCTCTTTCTTCCAGACAGGCTGCTTCAGAATGTAGTCTTTTAGGGCATGAGCTTTCTTCTCCATTGTGCTGTACACAGTACTGTACTGCTTGCTTAAGCTCTTTGCTTTAGAGGCTCGTGTACTGTAAAATACTCCAGGTTTTGTTTGCATTGAGAGATCACACTCAAGACATGCGCTCTTATTCAAAGTACAGTGATAGATTCAAGTACTGATTGTGTTCTGTGTTACTATAAGGTGTTATAAATAACATGTTTTGATATAAAAAAAAAAACTTTGTAAATTGTAAATAACAAATATCTTTGTAAACATGTTAACAAGTGAGAGTAAAGACATATTAGTAAAGCTAATAGTTGCTATTTGACATTTGTAAAATGTAGTTGCTATTTGACATTTGTAAAATGGGAAGAGAAATGCTAAATATAGGCAACTACAGAGTTGGGTGTGACGTATTTCACAGTAACGCATTACTGTATTCTAATTACATTTTTGAGGAATGCAATAATGTAATGATTTACATTTTAAATTTGTGTAAATTGATTACAGCTACTAAAGTCAATGTGATCATGCTACTTGCGTTATAAACATATTTTAGAAACAATATTTGCTTTTCTCTTTTTAATTGTTACGTTTTCACAGCAACATCAGTTAATGATCATTCACTTTTAAATTGGCGTTCACCTATAAATTGGTGTTCACTTTTATATTGCTGTAAAATAGCTGTTGACGAGAGTGCTTGCTTCCTCAAGTAGAATTACAAACTTCACTGAGCGTAAAAACAAGTCTGCAGTCTACGTCCAGTCCCTAAAAAACGTATGACTGCTTTCAACTCGACCAGCAACTTGTTCACTTGAACAGAAAGCATTCTACGATAACACTTGTGGCCAAGTAGGACGCCGTCACTCCAAAAAACAGCTGCCCAACTCAAACTCCAAAAATAAAATTTTGGTGTAGGATCGTGAGGGAAGGAACTTCTGAACATCTGAAGAGAAGCGTAACTGCTTATGGGGCCGTTCGTATATGCGTCTTTTGTGCACGCAAGTTCGTTATTTCCAATGAAGGTGCATCTTGCACACACATGGGAGCGATATGCACGTGGCAAGCATGCAGCTTGATGCACTCCGTATTATAGATTTCACTGATACAACATTTAAGCGTTTACAGTTTGTCTTCACAACTGCAGACATAGTGAGCTGTATGTTTTTCCTTCAATGAATGTCAATGGTTACAGGTATAAAGTTTTCTTTAAAATATAAAGTAATTAATAATCTGATTACTTTTTACATGAAGTAATTAGTCATTTCTCCAAAATACAATTTTCCAGTATTAATCAGTAACTTGTAATCTGTTACTTTTTAAAGTAACTTTGCCAACACTGGGCAACAATAAGAACCTGATAAATGTATTTCCTTTAAAAAACACAGCATTATATGAAATAGAAAGCCTTTTTTTATTATTCCCCGCTCCCCCCACAGTAATATTCGATGCAAACTAAATGATACATTTATACAATTCTGAATGTATTCAGTTATGATAACTGATAACTCTGTGTACTTCCATTATTTTCGGTAATTTTTTTTGTCATGTCTATAAAGTGCTTCGAGCATCTAACATTAAACGATCATTTGCATTTATGTAAATAACAGTAAAAATATATTAAATGCTTAATTAAATAAAGTATCGACTTCTTATGTTACGATCTTAAAAAAGGCAAGAGAAAACATAAATATGATGCATTTTTCCCACCACACAAACATTCAATAATAAATACAAAAAATATCAAAATAGACCTTAATCTTCAGGAATACACCCCCCCCCCCCCCCACCCCCCCATTGGCATTTTCTTCATCTTATATTAATCTGCAGTCTGCAGATTTCTTACTTGCATTAACATTATTCCCTGAAGTGAATCCAGCAAAGTCCTCATGGATTATCATGTCTCTTCTTCCTATTTTCTGGATATGGTCTGTGTGGATTTGTAGCAGAATTAGACGTTCTGTCTGGTGTTTCCTCTGAAGAATTTGTCGATTGTGTGTTTTGTGCTCAACACTTTGGTTTTCTTTGAGGGAGGAAGAGGAGATGATCCTCGTCTGTAATTAAAACAAACACAGAAATGATGAGACACTAAATATTTGTAAATACCTAATTTAACAGTTTGAGGCAGTTAAGATCTGCAAATGTTCATTGACAAAGCATTACAGACTTTAGAATACAGTAATATATTATAAAATAATATAACAGCTTCGAATAGGTTACAAATATTCAAATTTTTAACTGTTAATTACTAACATATATTTCAGAATGTAACTTATTTATTTGATTGTTAAGCTGAAACTTGTGCATTATTGCTGCAGTCTTCAGTGCGATTGATGTATGAAACCAGTCAAATATGCAAATTTGTTGCTCAAGAAACATATCTTTTTACAAATGTTTACAGAACTGCTAATATTATTTATTTATTTTGTTATCATCCTTTTCTTAATTTGCTGATGGATAGAATAAAAATAAAACAGCATTTATTTGAAATAGATTTTCATATCTTATAAATATCTTCATATCTGGATTATTTTTCATAGTCTACAAAAAATACTTGTAATCAATTCAATTATATTTTAAAATACTAGCAATTAGACTACAGTTTCTCTTTTCATTATTGCATGGTTACACAAGTCACAAAATGGCAAAATAACTAAATAAATCTTTGAATATTTATATGATTTAATCAATTATCAGGATTTCATCAAATGTGGAAAAAATACAATTAGGAAAACCCAATGCTTAATGCAGTTGATAAAGGACGTAATACATTTTTTTTTAATCATGTTATAATTTTCCTATTCAAATCAAGGTGATGACAACGACTCAGGACAACAGTGATCTTAAAGTAACTTGGAGTTGTCATCAAAGCACTTAAAAATAGTTTCTATTAGTGTTAGTCTGGTTGCTTCTATTGTTCTTTTAATTGGTAAGTCACTTTATATAACAGTGCCTGCTGAATAATTACGCAAAAGTAATAAAACAGTGGTCAGATATTTTCATTTAAAATGTGTAGCTTATTTGATTACATTGCAAACTCATTGCTAATTTTAGTGTGTAGTTACAGATGTTGATAATGATATATACAATATGACACAATATAGTACATTTTCTATAAATTCATAGTTTATACATGACTACGTGAAAAATGCCATTTCTTTTTTAGATTTTAAAGCATATACTAAAAAATACATTTATATTCTCTCTGTCATCAATTACCCACCGTTCACTTGTTACAAACCTATATGAATTCTTTTTTTTTCTGTTAAACACAAAATATGATACTTTAAAAAATGTTAGTAGCTGCTACCTGTTGGCTTTAATTGTATTTTTGTTTTCCTACTATGGAACAAAATGGGTACCAGCAACCAGCATTCTTCTAAATATCTTCTTTTGAGCTCATCAGAAGAAATAAAAAACGGAAAGGTTTAAATCCATTTTAAAGCTGAGGGGAATTATTTTTATTTTTGGGTAAACAAACCCTTTAAAAATATAGAAATATAACATTTATATCGGATATAATTAAATATAAAACGCTTTTCAATAATGTATGATTACAAGCCCAAACATAAATTATTGCTTAATAAAATGCAAAAAGTAAACACTTTATTTTAAAGCTTGCAACACCTGTGGTGGCATCACACACTGATTAATAAAAACTAATAATTTTAAGAATAACACAGATATAAACTATTGAGCAGGGTTGCCCAAACTTGGTCCTGCTATTCTAAGTCTGCTATTCTGCATAGTTTAGTTCCAACTTCATTCAACATACCTGCCTGGAAGTTTCTAGTATACCGAGCGACCGCAAATAGAGCTATCCAGATAAAGTGAAACTGCTCTCGCTTTTAGACAGTCTCGTAAACAAAAAAAGAAAAAAAAGGTACTCAAAAAGTGGTGTGGTACGGTTCACTTTTTGGTACATTTTGACAGTGAAAACGGCCATAAAAGCGTACTGAACCGAACTGCACCACTCAAGCCATAATTGGAGTTGAAACTAAACTTTGCAGGACACTGAGTTTGGACACCCCTGCTATAAAGTGACAAATTTATATTTAATCTTTTATCAGGTGATTTCATTATACGGTATGTCGTTGATCTTAATAAATTGCTGTTGCAACCCAAAGCTTGCTGGATTTTCACTTTAGAAACATTGTCTCCAAAAGGTTTAAATGAGGAGTTTGACATTCGTCCTTTTCTTTAATCATTTTTGAATAAGTCTTTAATATTTAATTAGTTTCCCAGAGATGGGTTGTGGCTGGAGGGGCGTCCGCTGCGTGGAAGTGTGCGGGATGAGTTGCCGGTTCATTCCGCTTTCCGCTGTGGTGGCCCCGGATTAATAAAGAGACTAAGCCGAAAAGATAATGAATGAATGATGAATGAATGAAGGTTTAATTAGGGGTTTGGTTAAAAGGTTTTTAGCTATATTTTGTTGTATAGTCTGGTGTATCCTGGTATATATATATATATATATATTTTTTTTTTATTATAATTTGTGATGTAATATTATAGTTTATTTATTTATTTATTTATTTTTTGGAATTTGACTTGAAATATCAAGGCTATAGGCTATATATGAATGTGTATACATGTATTCATGTGTATAATGTGTATATATGCATATGTGTATATGAATGATTGTGTGTGTATACATATGCATGTATGTATATGTGGACATATATGCGAGAGGATATCATGTGATCCAGAAGTGTACAAAAAGAAGCACCTGATTGTGATAAACATTGTCTGATAAAGAGCCGGGTGGCTCAAAACGTTACACGCTTTGTGTCAGCCTTTTTAAGTTAATCAATTTGTATTTTTGGAGCCTTGGTGTTGCCGCCTTTGATTAACATTTAATTTGCACTTTTTGCGTTTTTTTTTTTTTTCTTGCTGAGCACCCAGTTAAGAGGAATGTGCATGCTTTTGTACATTTTTATCATACTGTATGACCATAATGTCTTTTCTGTCACTTTTGATCAATTTAATGAAACAAAAGCAAAAAAGCTAAGAAAAATTGTAAAAAAATAAATGAATAAAAAACTGCACCCAAACTTTTGAATGGTGGAGTACATTTAAAGGCATTCCAACAACACATTAGCACTCATTTACAGATTTAAATACCTTTTGCTCTTTTCTCTGACTTTAGAAGCATTTCCCTGGTCCCCCAATTGCCCTGCAATAGACAAAACAGTAAGAATTGTTATAACTATTATCTCTCTGGTCTGAAAACTTAAATTCATCTCCATTTAATTTCCAGTCATCACACATAAACTGACCTCTCATGTTCTTGAATGCTGGTGAAGCAGCTGAATGATCCACAGGCGGATGAGCTCCTCCAAACTCCAGCAGAACGTCCTGGTTAAGACACATATCCACATGCCGGTTGAACAGAACAAGGTCGTCGGTGCTCTGCGGCTGATTGCACACAGGACACACCAAAGACGAGCCTTTCAAATCACACGACATCTCCGGGACAGGATTATGCGCTGAGTGCGAAGCTTCATAACTTCTTACTTTAGATTCAGAAAGAGATGTCTGCTTTTTAAGAACAACTGAATGGTTTCTGTTTATCATACTTTGACTAAACTGTGGAGTCTTGAAGTCATTGCCGTCATCGCCATCTGCCATTGGCTCAGAGGTGCTAGTAGACGCTTTCTCTTCATTACATGATGAATAATGGACGAGAGTCTTGCTTTCTAAACTTGATGGTTCGCCACTGAGCTCTTCTTGGCGCTCAGCTGCACTTAAATCTGTGTGTTCATTACTATCCATCGCACTGCCCTTCAGACATTCATCGATATGCTGGTTGAAGGCTGTGAGGTTTACATCCTTCATTTCTTTATTGCACACAGGACAGGTGAGACACTGCAGCACCTGGGTCGAAATCTTAAATGACGCCTTTGCAAGTTTGCTTATGTATCCTGTATTCATTTTGTTAGCCGATGTTGTGTCTGATTGAGAGTGATTCACGTGTGTTTTAGCAGCTGTGTTGTTTGTTGTGTCTGATTGAGTGTTGTTTGTTTTGTCTGTGACTGTGCTGGCAGATGTTTGTTCCTGCTGCTGCTGTAGTCTTTTGGACTGGGCTCTTTGAAAGAATGACTGCTGCTGAGGTGCTTGAGGTTTGGGTACTTTCATCTCAGTGGACTGTGGCTTGAGAAATCTGGCACCATCACTAGCCTCTTCAGCTTTGGGTTCTGATCCAGGACACTGTGTGAAACCGGCTGGATCGGGTCCACCTTTCTGCAGAAAGCCCATTATACTCTTTTGAAGAGGCTTTTTATCTTCAGTGCTGATAAAGCCAGACACTCGAACGCCTGTTGAATAACAAACATCTCTAAAGTCGTTTAAAAAAAAAAAAAAGCCATTGTTTAATTGTTTTGTCTGAGGTCAAATACTGCAGTGGGGAGGGACTTAGAAATGACATGCTTCAAAAAAAAAAAATATATATATATATTACAGTGTATCATTCATTCGTTTTTCTTCAGCTTAGTCCCTTTTTTAATCTGGGGTTGCAATAGCAGAATGAACCACCAACCTATGCAGCATATGTTTTACACAGCGGATGCCCTTTCCAGCTGCAACCGATCATTGTGAAACATCCATACACACTCATTCACACACACACACACACACTACTGCTAATTTAGCTTACTCAATTTACCTATAGCACATGTCTTTGGACTGCGGGGAGAAGCTGGAGCACCCATTCTTCAAACATTCTACAAAACATCTTCTTTTAAGTTCAACAGAAGAAAGAAACTTGTTTGACTTGGAACAAGTGAGAGAGTAAATGATGACAGAATTGTCACTTTTGGTTGAAATTATTTTGTTCTGTTATTCTACTAATAATTTGTAGGCAGAATTTGAATCCACTCGAGAGTGAGTACATTTTCTTTTTAGGTGAACTATCTCTTTGAAATTTTTATTTAGTAAAGATACATGATGTAACTGATCAAAAGTGAAAGCAAAGACATCTCTGGGATGTAAAATTTCAATATAATATTCATTCATTAAGTTTTCTTCAGCTTAGTTCCTTTATTTATCAGGGGTCACCACAGTAAACAGCCAACTTGTCCAGCATTTGTTTTACACAGTGGATGCCCTTCCAGCCGTAACCCAGTAATGGGAAACATCCATACACTCTCATTCAAACACATACATTACGAACTTGAACCAGTGACCTTCTTTCTGTGAGGCGAAAGTGCTAACCACAGAGCCACTATGTCACCCAATATAGTATTTAAATTTTGAATAACTCTTCATTCATTAAGGGATCCTGAACAAATAATATCAGTTTCCACAACTGTTTCTGACACTGACAATTAGAGCTGCAGAATATATTGTTTCAACATCAATACAACAATGTGCCAATCCAATATAGTCACATCGCAGAATCTGGAATGACGAGTTGTAATTATAATAGCCGGGCATCACAGTTCTGAACACGTGATTTATGAAGTCAAAGTTTAAAGTGTGCTTTTAAGGCTTGTAAACTATGTAAGACTTTATTTAAACCAATAAATGCTAAAATTTTAGCTTTAACAGAGACTATTTCAATTAGTATTAAATTATTAATACAACAAGACTATATAGTGGTATTTTACATTTGGTCACTGAATTCGTGCATCCCTACTGACAATGATCATATTAGAATGAATATTTCAAGAATTATGTGACACTTTAGACTGGAGTAATGATGCGAAAATTTTGCTTTGGCATCACAGCAAAAAACAATGTTTGAAAGTATATTAAAATAGAAAACAGTTATTTTACACTTTAACAACAAAAACGTTTGCTGGGACCCCAAACTGGTGCAGACCCCAAACTTTTGAAAAGTAATGCACAGATACACACATGCACATAACAGGAGGTGTAACACATACCCATGAGTCTGAGTTTCAGTGGCTGAGGGCTGACACTGTCGATCTCAACTTTCAGAAGGTCTTTAGCAGCAGCAAAGATCTCCTCCTCAGTACAGACAGCATACTGCAGTGTAAATGCTTTGGTCTTTACTTCAAACTTGACATTCTTCAACTTTAAAGTAACAGTTTTCCCCTATAACACAAAAACGTCCATATTACAAATGACACAATACATATTTTCCTCAGTTACATTGGACTAATTGCCTATTATTTGACTTGGAGTCATTAAAATGCTTTAAAGTGCCCTGTTAGGATTGTTTGCATATTTGTTTCTGTGAATTCTGTAATTTAAAGGGATTGTTTACCCAAAATCAAAAATTTATTTGCTCAACCTTCACTTTTCACAAACCTGTTTGAGTTTAATTTTCTGCTAAACACAAAAGAAGTTATTTTGAAAAATGCTGGAAATCTGTAAACATTGACTTACATTTGTTTTTCTATGAAAGTTGATGGTAACAGGCTAACATTTTTCTAATTATCTTCTATTGTGATATTCTTTTGTGATACAGAAAAAAAATAACTCTAAAAGGTTTAAAGGTTTTACTATAAAGGTTTGGAACCACTTGAAGGTGAGTAAATTAGTAAGTTAATTTAGATTTTTGGGTGAACCATTGCTTTAACTGTTTATGAATCTAAAATGTCTGCAAGTTTCGAAGATCAAACTGTTTGATGAATAGTCATTGCCTCCTAAAAGAAGGAACGGATTCTAAAACTCCTTAAACAAAACCCCAGGTCTTCCGGTATTATTTATGCTTTTTGATATAAACCTTCTTAGGCTTAAGGCCAGCCAAAGGTCTGCCAATTGGCTGCCCATAAGTATCATCTGCATTGACTCTCAAACAAAAAAAAGTAGTTGAAGCTTATGCTTTAAAGAGTTTGACATGTGTTGGCAAAATCTGAGGCAATCTGGTTACTGAGTTGTAAAAGTAAATCCATTTTGCTTCTGGGCTCAATGTGATGCAGTAAGACTGATGTCTTTGTTAAATTCTGAATCACTGTGTTTAGTGCTGAGAAATACTGCTGGAAAGAAGGGGTTTAAAAAAAACTGGAGAGACTGTAGGAAAAGAGTTGATACTGCAGTGTACAATATATGAGAAAGTTAAGAATTTCTTACTTCTGTTGAACATAAAACAAGCTTTTCTTAACTCTTTAACTGCTTTTAAATAGTTTACACACAGCATTGTTGATTTATAAAAAAGGCAAATATAATCCTGCACTACACTCGATTTTAGTTTAATTGTAGAAAAAAAAAACAAGAAAACAAGTTAAATGAGAATCTAAAATATTTTATAGCATACTTTAAAAATATAAAGATGACACTTTGTCTGATTTTCATAGTATATGTAATAATTCTGGTACTTTTACAATAAACTGACATATATACCATGGTACAGGTTAATATTTTATGGGATGGGATGTGTTGAAAAAATGCTTTGAGTGTTAACTAGCAACACTAGAAGTTACAAAAATGCAATCCATTTTTTTTTCTTGGTGGGGCAGTTAAAGGGTTAAGATTGCTGGAAAAAGCAGTCATTGACATCCATAGTATTAACAAAAAAAATGGTCATTTCCCCCCAACATTTTTTAGAATATAATTTTGTGTTAAACAGAAGAAAGAACTTCAAACAGGTTTGGAACAAGTGGAGAAAGACTAAATGATGACAGAAATTAGATTTTTGGGTAACCTTTCCCTGTAATGCAGAACACGAAAACATCCAGCAATAAAGAAATATAAAACAAAAAGCACCAGCAGTGCATACTAATGATCTAGATACTTATACTAAAACTTATATAAAACAAATCAACAAGTAAATAACAAACAAACCTTAAACCAAATGAAGATTCACAGTGCAAGTTATCACTGACTCTATATGAGATTAAAAAGATAATTTGACTCTTTAATTTGGCCTGACAAATGGGTGAAACACAGGTACCTTGAGGCCCTCCCTCTGTAGGTCCTGAGCCAGGTCATGACAGAGCTCCTTGCACAGAGAATACTGCTCCCCTGCATCACTCATCTCCCCAAACGTCCTGAAACAAAGATTAGCATTCATTCTCCTAACTTTTTAGTATGCATTGTTGCTATTTTGGGATTTCTGCAGGTTTCTGCAAGTCAAATTTAGAACTGTAAAAGTCATCATTCATTCATTCTTTTACTTTTCAGCTTAGTCCCTTTATATATCAGGGGTTGCCACAGCAGAATGAACCTCCAACTTATCCAGCAAAAGTTTTATGCAGCGTATGCCCTTTCAGCTGCTAACCCATCTCTGGGAAACATCCATACACACTCATTCACACATATACACAACGGACAATTTAGCTTACCCAATTCACCTGTACCGCATGTCTTTGGACTGTGGGGGAAACCAGAGCACCCAAAGGGAAACCCACGCGAACGTGGGGAGAACATGCAAACTCCACAGATAAACACCAACTGACCCAGCCGAGGCTCGATCCAGCGACTTTCTTGCTTTGAGGCGACAGCACTACCTACTGCGCCACTGTGTCGCCAGTATAAGACATTTTGAATGTAATTTCAGATTTCTACAGGGCTAAATGCTAAAGACCAATCAGCTAGAGCCCACTGAGTATTTCAGATAGACCCAGGAGAATGAAAAGAGGTAGAGCCTAGCATTGTCAATGTACAGACCATATCAATGTAGTAATTTCATTGGTCCATGAACATTTCCTGCTTGTTATCAAACTATTTCATAACTGTAATACAATTAATACAAGGGAATTTAATCATAACTTAATTTTAAAAGAGCTATCATAACATTATTTATCAATATGTGGCTCTTTTTGGATTCTTGGAAGCTATAGAAATTAAAAACGTGTAACAGGAAATACGTAGGGACCATTGTTTTTGTTTACATGCCTCAAAATGGTCTATGTATTGTTGAAATGGTCTATGTAGTACAAAAGGATCAACCGTAACAGAATTTTAAAATTCTGTCTATATCCTAACATGTAAATAAGTGGGCGTGGCTAAATCGGTTCAACAATATGCAGTGAACTTTACTCGTAATTTAGATTTTACCTGTGATTTTATTTTGGATTACTGATTTGAAACTGTGAATATGAGTACATAGATTTAACAAGATCTAATTAAAATGAGAAAAAAATCCTTATCATTTCTGAAGTTTTTAAAGTTTACTAACTAGAACCCTTTTTTGTTGATTTTCTGGATATAACACTATATAATAAAGCACATAGCTTCTGCAACAATAAAATCACTCATACTTATAAATAGAATTTTGGTAATACTGCCCAACCCAAGAATGGGAAAACTGAAATGTTTGGATGTGCAGATCAGTTTACCTCTCAGTGCTCATGCTTTTTCTTTCTGAGTCCCTGAAACAAAACAAGCAGATATTTCATGTTATTATGCTGTATTCAACATTTATCCCCATGTAGTTTATTTATGCCACACAAAAAGGTTTCACGCTGTAACATATGCATTGACACTGCACACCTCTCCATATACGTGGAGCCCAAACCCAAAGATATGTGAAGGAAATGATGCCAAGAGGTTTCAGAAAACAGCAGGGATAGTAGCGCCATCTGCTGGCCAAGCTGAGAACAGGTGACAATACCAAGAGCAGCCAGCATCTTCTCAGTAACCTTTCCAACACCCGATACCTACAAAAATGTACATGTATTGTTAGCCAGCCTAGTTCTCAGATATATAATAGACAGAAATATAATAAAAATGAATTAGAGCAGTGGTTCTCAAACTGTGGTACGCGTACCACTAGTGGTATGCAGGCTTCCTTCTAGTGGTATGCGAAGGAATCGCTGAATAATTTAAGTAAAAAAAAAAAAAAAACACTTTTAACCCTTTAACGTGTACAATGACACTGATGTGATTAGTAAATTGATTTTAATAGGCTAAACCTTTTTATTTTATTTTTTTTACAATTTTCTAATGTTTGTTATGTATTTATCATTTGAAGCTAATTTCCTCCCCATATTTGTAATGGTTATTGGGGGTGTATCCCGGAATTTTATATCCCAATGCTGACAGGTCATTACGGTCGTACTTGGAGCAACTTTTTTTTCTGAGGTGGTACTTGGTGAAAAAGTTTGAGAACCACTGGCCTATTCAATACAGAAAACTGTAAATGCTATTACTTTAATCATTTCAATATGGCACATTTACTAATGAAATAAAAAAAATTATAGTATAATATTTAGGCTAATTTAAGGCCATCTTACAGCCCACCTACAGGATCAGTGAGTCTCTGTACTAATTTATGCTTTTAATGCACTGTGAGTTACCATGAACTAGCAATGAACAGCTGTATTTTCCATTAACAAGCAAGAACAAATACTGTAATAAATGTATTGTTCATTTTTTATTCTTTATTTCATGCTAGTAACATGCTAATTCACACTAGACCCATGCTAGTAACATGCTAATTGATACTAGAATCATGCTAATAACGTCTAGAATCATTCTAATAACATGCTAATTCATACTAGAATCATGCTAGTAACATGCTAATTCGTACTAGAATCATGCTAATAACATGCTAATTCATGCTAGAATCATGCTAATATGCTAATTCATGCTAGAATCATGCTAGTAACATGCTAATTTATGTTGGAAACATGCAAGTAACCTGCTAGTTTATACTAGAATCATGCTAGTAACATGCTAATTCATACTAGAATTATGCTAATAACATGCTAATTCATAGTAGAATCATGCTAGTAACATGCTAATTTCATAGTAGAATCATTCAACTAACATGCTAATTCATGCTAGAATCATGCTAACAACATGCTAATGTATGCTAGAATTATGCTAATAACATGCTAATTTGTACTACAATCATGCTAATAGCATGCTAATCCTTGCTAGAATCATGCTAATAACATGCTATTTTTACTTTTTTAAACTGTTTTTAAACTAAATAAACTATTACCAACAAGCCAGCCTCAAAGTGTCTCTACGAACTTTACTGTCTAGGTGTAAAGTGTTGCCACTATATTTGATCCACCACTAATTTAATGCTAAATAAACTATCCCTTTGAGTTGACTACAGGATATGTTACTATCCACAATAAAAATGGTTGCCATTTTTTTGCGATATATTAGCTATGCACCTAAAAGCTAGGAATAAAAGGATCAGATGTACCTTTCTGACAGGAAGATCCTTCATGAAGTCCATCACGACTTGTCTCTCAGGAGGAATTCGGTATTGGCCATTGGGCTTGTTCTTATCGCTGCATACTTTTGCAAGCATCATATTTGGGGCAATGCCTACAACAGAGGATGATAATTTAGCATTTCATACCTCCAGTATAATACACTTTTAAGTTTAAAAGAAATCCCTCCCTCACCCGCACTGGCAGTAAGAGATGTTTTCTGCTCAATACGGAAGCGCATCTCCCTCACGGCCTCCTCTGCACTCGTCCCAAACACCTCCGCCTTCCCATCAGCCCCTGACAGAGAAGGAGAGGAGCTGGGACTGTCCTCAAACAGCACAGGAGACAATTCATCTCTCTCTGATTCACTTGTAGATCTGCATGCATCGCTTTCTTTTCAGCAAAATAAAAATAAACATAAAAAATGATGTTGATTTAAGGGCAAATTTGTAAGAGAAAGCTTTCTTAAAGAGAACATCCAGAAGAGGTTTTTTAGCTCTTTTTAGTTACTTTTGGATGTCACTGACCCCCAGATATATCTCTAATCCTGTTGACTCACCACTGTGAATTACACATAAGGTGACTTATATAATGTAAGCACTAAAATACATGTTTAGAATATTTCTGAACATTTTATTGATGTAGGACTACTAATAAGCTACTTTATTCCTGAATTAAATTATAACATGCTAATTACACATTGACTTTTTTCCCTCTCTAAAAATAAATATCGGCAGTGTCTAACTTAAACTTAGGTGCAACTTATGCTATGAAGTATTCAGTATATTTATATTTGTATGCATGTATAAAGAATTAATTTAAAAACACTTTATTACTTATTTTAATAATTTGAAAAATATTTCGTTTAGTTTTTGTCTTTTCCAGTACTGTAAAATAGTATTCTTTTTTAAATCACTGTTCACATACATTGTTTATATGTGTGTATATATAAATATATGAATGTGTTAAATATGATTTACAACTCCCTTACAGAGACAGTCTGAAACCCCCCGTATTAATTAATATATCTTAGTAATGCACCTGTCTTAGCATCACAGATTTTGTGTGTTCGCATGGTGTCCGGCCAGTGCTTGCGCTGCTCCAGGTGCTCAGTGATGTCCAGATAAGCCTCATCCAGACTCATAGGCATGAAATTAGGGTCGTACTCTGAAAATATCTCCCGTACCTTTAAGACAGATTCACACATTAGACAAACACAGGAGTTATTATGACTAATGAGTAATGCTTGACTAGGATACAACATACCTGGGCACTCACTGCTCTGTATTTGTCAAAGTTAGTTGGGACAATGACTAGATCCGGACAGAGCTTCTTAGCAATGAATCCGGGCATGGCAGCACGGACACCAAACCTTCTGGCATGATAATTGGAGGTTGACTGAAAAGAATAAAAGATTATAACGTCAACTAGAGCAGCATGATTAATCGTTACAATATCTTGATTCAAACACACTTAATCTTAATAAATGGTCACCATTACCATATATGTCTTTATCTCTGTTTGGGATGTAAACACTGATGTTCATGGTGAAGATTAAAATGACCATTGATGGCTGCTCAACTGGCGACAAGCGACCATCAAAAATGAATTTGTCACTGAATAATTACTTTAAAAGATTCTAGTAATGGCACATGAAGTCTTTATAAGTGAGTTGTTGTATTATCAAAAGTGCTGTATGAAAGTTTTGACTCTCCTAAAGCATAAAAACACCATAATATGTTTGCAGAAATTTAAGAAACACACTAAGAGAACATGGCTGTTTTTCTGAAAAACAATGCTGAAGTCAATTAATCTGCTTTGAAAACGTGCTTTTTCCACATGAGGTTATTAATAAGCAAATAATATAAATATTACGAGTGTAAACATTAGCTGAGCATTGTAACTTCATGTCCTAACAACAAGCTATGTGACCTGACTTGCAGTGATATGCAACTTGGCTGTTTGCACCAAACAAAACACGACATTAATTTAAATACAGCCATTTACAGGCACAAAATATGCACTTAATCATGAAATGGTAAGGTTTATAATCTATTTAATACATATTAAACCTCTTTACCATTATTAAATGTACTGTATCATGAGTTCTAAAGTTCAATTTCAAATGGTTTATTTTATTTTCAAGAGCTGCTGCTGCTTTCAGTAGTATGGCAATAATTGTCATGCAAAATGGCATTTAAACTCATATTGTTAGCATTTAACACTGAATAAAGCACACGAGTTGTGCCTGAGGTGATCATTGTCAGTTTTCTGTTGTTCAGCTGCAAGAAATAGAAGCTTCCTTTTGGTCCTCAATCTGGCAACCTGCGCTCGAGTTTGTTTTGATTTAGAATACAATACCAAGTTCAACCACTGGGTGTCAAACTTACGTACTGCACCTTTAATTCAAAATTATATTTAAACAAACGAAAGATGAATATGTGAAGGTGTTCACCAGGGTAGATATTTTTCAATACATTACACGTTACAGATAGATGGCTAAAACAGAACCTCTAGAAGACTTTTGGTTATTTTGTTATGTTTTACATTCAAACTCTTGCAGCTCTGATGTCAGCACTGTGGATGTGTAATGGTGTTCAGTTAAGTTAATCAGTTAAGTCCGTTTCAGATATTTACCAACATGCTCATGGATCCCACTGCCATCGGTTTGTCCTTCAGCTCCGGACAGTCTCTCATTTCTACAGCAGCATAGAATGCATCCATGTCCACGTGAACGATCACACGACCCAGCTCTCGACTCCTCTCCAGGTCAACTGTCAGTCTGTCCACCTGTGGAGTGAAAACTCTTCAGTAATGATACTTAACTGAACAGGTAAGAAAATGGACAAATAAAACAGGCATTTAATTTTATACAAGTTTTGTGTACTAAATGTTAGGGCTGGGCGATTAATTGAAAAGTAATCTAAATCTAAAATCTAACTTTTCCAGGTTGTTTTTTTCTATTAGTTTCACAACCGCATCTGTGACGTGTCACGTGAATCCGCTCTGTTAAGGCTGATTTATACTTCTGTGTCGAGCGTATGGTACGGCGCAGCCTTTGCCTTGAGACAGCATATTTTCCATTACATTAGAATTATTATTTACATTAAAATATTTGTTCACAGAAGATTTACGAAATGCACAGTTTAAAATTTAATTTACAAGATATGCAAGGGTTATTTTATTTAAATGAAGTACTATATCTTGTCTAGAATGTATCTTGTCAATGAAGAATCTTGTCAATGAAAAACATTGAAAATAAATTAATTTATTTCCAAAAGAGCAAGTTATTTATTTTCACAATTTTATAAGAAAAAGAGTGACTGTTCATTTTAGGCAATGTGTGTTTTACTTTCAGTTGTTCAACTGTGATGTTCAATTGATAATCATAGATGGTAGATGGTAATTTACGGACGGGAAAATGCGCTTTGCACTATGGCGCATGGTCTAAATGGGTTGAGTTTATTTTCTTAATGAGTTATAGGTGTGTTTTGAGAATAAACCAATTAGAGTCTCATCTCCCATTCCCTTTAAAAGCCAGCTGCGTCGCACCAAGAGCGCATTCGCTATTTACAGGACGCAAAGTAAGTCTAGGTGGAAAAATGAGCATTTCACTAGCAAACAGTTCACAGTTAACAGTTTTTTAACAGTAAACTGTTAAACAGAGCATCTACTGCGTGAGAATGAGAGATAATGGAACTACTTTGGAAAGGGAAACCTTTACGCACAGACATCAATTAACCTATAAATAAATACTTTTGTTTGTTAAGCGCAAATATTCGTTTCAAAACTATTTCTAAATTCAGTTCTAATTTCCAGCAAACGAATAAATGAACAATAATAACAAAATGTGCTCAAAAAAGTTATATCCATATAAAACACATGCTGTGCCCCATATGGTCTAAAACCTGACAGGTGGGCAAATCTAAGCTTGTAATAAAACAAATATAAATATGGATATAATAAATAATACTGCTAATAATAATAACATTATACAAAAGAAAATTGTTATGAATGAACTGAAAAAGCCTCCCGAGATGAAGAAGACATAAAAGCAGTGATTTTTCATATTTATGTAGGCTAGAAAATAATATGTTTTGTAATATTTTAATCATTTATATTTATATCCTATATCTATTCTTATTATATCCTATATATATCCTTAATATTTACATTTTTTCATATGTAAATATATTTGCCTATTGCTCTCTTGTGCGTATTAAGCAGTGCCGGAGTTTAGACCGGGTTAGTTTTGGTCTAATGAAAAATCTATTATAGTTTCTCAAAATAGCGACGTGCCAGCGGTCCGCCTCAGAACGCCTCTCTTTTTAGACCAGAACGCCTATGGGCGCACAAATGAGCGCTAATGCATTTGCTATTTAAAAAGCGTAGTGCAACGCCTTAAAACAACTCTTGCGCCAAGCTGAAACTACCAAAAGACTATTGCGCCGCGCGTTGCACCACACTGCGCCGGGTGTATGATAGGGCCCTATGTATTTTATATCATGGAATTTATGATTTTTTGCATTGTGGATTTTTTTTCACGACAATAACGCATACTTTAAAAAGCAATTGAATAATTATTTTACTTTAAAAAGTGAGTAAATTTGTTGCTCAAAGTGACAAGTTGAATTTACCCCCCAAAACAGAGCAAACCCATTGTAACTTGGAACAGTTAAGTAAACTTAATTTGTATAAATATGCAACTAGTTCATTTACTTAATATTTTAGTCAACATGTTTACTCAAATATTAAAGTAAAGACTAGGGCTGCACAATATATCGTTTTAGCATCAATATCGCAATGTGCGCAAATGAAATAGTCGCATCGCAGGATTTGCAATGTTGAGTTTAAATTACAATGACCAGGAACAACATTTCAGAACATGATTTGTGGAGTCATCGCAAATTTGAACCCTAATAGAGAGAAAGATTTTCATTTGGATGTGTTTTAAGGAATTGTGACTAAGATATCAAGCAAATATAAAAAAAAGTTTAGAGATTTAACAAAGATTAAACTGTATTGAATTATTTATACAATGAAGACAATCTAATGTTTGATTCATTTCTGTTCTTAGACTCTACAGAAAACCATAATATACATCTTTGTTATTCATATATGCTTGCAAATTGTTTATTATGTTTTATGCAGATGTATGAATTCTTTACATGTAGAGATGTTTAGGTCATCTTTTGTGAAATTATAATCATATTGCAATTTTTATTGCAGTAGAACAAAATATCACAATACCAATTTTTTTTTATATCATGCTGCCCTAGTAAATACAACTAATTAATTTAAAAGCAGCAGGTTTACTCACCTTTTTAAGTAATGTCAACTAATCATATTTTACAGTACACCTTCCCCTTTTTAACTACGGTAAACTACCTTGTTTTAATAGTTGCTACAATTGTGTAAAACATTAATAAGAGTCATCTGGTCGAGACACAATGATAATAATAATTAATCATACACATATACATTTATTTTAATAAGACACTGAGAATGCAATATTTAACAGTAATCAAAGTCAGAGGTGAATTTGTGTGTGTGTGTGTCCACTCACTGTGAAATCCAATACAAACATTTATAGCAGTGATTACAGGGCTGATTACCTCTGCTTGAGCTTGTTTCATCTGTTCCTTAGTGATTTTTGCTTTTTGCTCCATCATCTTTTCAATGCGCTGATTCACCTGCCGCTCTTTCTTCAATTCATTCTCATAAAATCTAGATCCCTATAAATTAGAAAAAAATTAATTATATCATCCACAACACTGTCAGGCAGAGTGCCTAGTTAAACTTCATCTGAAACTATTTCAATAAATTGCAATTATAATTATTATATATATTCACTGACAGACAATAGTATACTTGTCTTTTTAAACAGGAAAAACTTTGAAAATAATAATAAATTAAATATATAAACAATATATAATTATTTAATATAATACATTATTTTAATTTGACTAAAATAAATTCACAGCACAAAAATTATTTAAATTAACAAATGAATAAGAAATGTAATAAATACTGTAATATTTCTAATGTAACTTGCTGCACATTGCTTTAGAGTGATGCACTTGTGCCCTTACAGTGTACATAGTTTCGAAAGAGCAAGGCAAAACAAAATAAGGTAACGGCTTCAGAGTTAGTACGTACTGTAGTTATTATTGGCCAATTTTTGTAATTATTTTTAGGAAGTAGTCTATATAGTTTGTAGAAGTATGTAAAATGTGCTATCATGTAAACAAATAATATGTGACATTCACATATAGGTGAAGTCAGAATTATTAGCCCCCCTTTGATTTTTTTTCTTTTTTAATTATTCCCAAATTATGTTTAACAGAGCAAGGATATTGTCACAGTATGTCTGATAATATTTTTCATTCTGGAGAAAGTCTTATTTGTTTCATATCGGCTAGAATAAAAAGCTGTTTTTATTTTTTTTTAAAAACCCATCTTAAGGTCAATATTATTAGCCCCTTTAAGCTATATTTTTTTGGAAAGTCTACAGAACAAACATCATTTTACAATAACCTGCCTAATTACTCTAATCTACCTAATTAACCCTTTAAATGTCACTTTAAGCTGTATAGAAGTGTCTTGAAAAATATCTAGTAAAATATTATTTACTGTCATAATGATAAAGTTAAGGGGGGGCTAACTATTAAGGTGGGGGAGGGGGGTCTAATATGTCTGACCTTCACTGCATATGTATATTAGAGTTGCACAATATATTGTTTCAGCATCGAATTCGCAATGTACGCATCTGTAATAGTCACATCGCAAAGATATGCAATGTGAAGTCTGGATTATGGTTAACCAGGAGCTCAGAAATGTATTTGATCACTGTACTTAAACGAGATATGCAACGATTTTTGTCTAGTCCAAATATCTATATTTCAAAGTAAAAAACAAGATTATTTAACCTATCCACTTGGCAGATGGTTTTAGCATTTATATCGCAATATTAACCGGACAAAAACAAAATATCGCAATATCAGTTTTTTTCCAATAATGTTATATATACAATAATGCTATTCCAATAATGTTATATATATATATATATCATATCATATGGGGGATAATAATTCTGACTTCAACTGTGTGTGTATGAATATATATATATATATATATATAACATGTATGACTATTATTATTGACAATGCACTGAATTAAATTAATACAAAATAGATACGAGCTAGTATTCATTGTACTAGTAGTAATAAATAATACTGTATATCTACAGTCAATAAGTAGAAGTGTCAACCTTAGAGGTTTCCAGAATGATCTTGTTGATCTTGTCTCTGTCCAGTCCTTCCATGCCAGCCTTGTTATCATTGAGAGCGATCCTGGAGAGCAGATCAGCTCCAGATCCTTTTTGATCATGTTGTTGATCTTCCATCTTTCTGCTGCTGCTTTCACTTTCGCACTGCTGCCTCATTTCATCCAGCTCTATAAACTGGACAAACTAACCTGCGAGCCAGATTATCATGGATGCTAAGCGTCAACAGTTATTCAAAGAGCAGTCAAAAGGATGTTTGATGTTTCTTCTGACCACAACTTTGTGTGTGCTAGTTTGTCTGCATATAAAAAAACAGATAAAATACATTAAAAACATTTGGCTTTGATTGAGATATACCTTTGTCTCGTAGCGACACGTATATATTAAAATACATACACAAACCAAGTCTTAATCATGCTACAAAACTAAAAAGTAGAGTATAGCAGTTCGTTATTATTTGTCAACAGACACCATTTTCAAAGGTCTTGTTCTTGAAGAGAAGCACATGCGCATCAACATCTTCATCGCCCCCTGCTGTACTGGAATAACGCGATCCACACCGAAAATGAAAAGTTGCAGGTCATCCAGATGTGGGTTGGTTATTTATTGATTTGCTTGTTTGTCAATCATTACAATATATTTTTTATCTGAAACTGTGGTATTTTGGTGTTTTAGCAAGCAGAAATATTATCTGGCAAACATTCCTATATAGACCAAAAAATACCAAACATACAAATGCATATTGTGTAAATGTTTTGCAGTTTAATAAAAAGTTAACGCCACACACAGTGACGTGATTTTAGTTTCACTTGTGGCTAGTGGCCAGGCCAGTGTCGAGAAATGATGACCGCTTTGGTCTTTACCGTCTATGGTTTTCTACGCGCTTGTTATCTCGCGATAAGTCGGTGTGACATTTTGTAGCCTACATATTTTCAACTCATTTTACACTATTTTTTATTTGTTTTGTTTTTCACACCTTTTAAAAGGCCAGCTTGGATAAATGTTGGGCAAATGTTGGGTCTTTGGTGTTCAAAAACCTTAACTCCAACTCTCGCGATGCTGCAAAGATACCGATCAAGCCTTCCTTCCTGATTTGAGGAGAACTTGAGGAACAGGAAGTGTGCATACTTCTGTATACATTACTGGAATGCAACGCTTGCCGATGGGATTTAAACGTAAAGGAATGCAAAAAAAACATTTGTTTCTCGCATGTTGGGTTTAAATAATGTTTTTGTGTTTTACTGATATAGCACGTGTCGCTTATACAGAATTCAGCGCATTTAGCAACACTTGCTTTGTTTATTGTAAGAGGGACAGGCGTATTTCCTGAAGAAATCAGCAAGAACGACGCTTTCTCAACTCTCGCAAATGGTTTGGTGAAAGATGTGGATTTATATTTGTCGAAATGACCTATATAATTCACCTAACGGTTTTCATGTTGATCGTCAATATCGGTAAGGACTTGAGATAGTTTGTGGCGTTGTCGGGACCGTTATATCTGATTATAAAAACATGTTACTTGTTTCATGTTCATAACTTATCATCTGTGTGTTTTTAATTCAGAGAGAACATGCTGCTTAAATCCGCCTCAGGATTTAAAGATAGTCAAATCACAGTTGCTGTGGAAGCCACCTGAAGTAGATGAAGATCTGCGGTATTCCCTTCAGTATAAACTTGACTCGTAAGTTGGCTTCTTTGACCCAAGTGACACACACACACACACACTAAACTTATTATTCTGTATTTGTTTATGCACCTTTTATGTTTCGTTGAATCCGTATGATGTTCGCTTTTTCACTGTTACACAAAAGCAGAAGTGAGAAATAATGGCAATCTCTTTACACGCCATTTGAAAGATTTCATGCTTTGAAAGTGAATGGTAACTTACTGAAGGCTTGAGCCAGACAAAATCTGCAAACAGTTTTTGCTATTTCTGTGGAGAATTTTGTAAAAAATTGTGGATTTATGTGGAATGATTTTGGGTGTATGATATCTAAAACTTAATATATGAAATAAAAACATAATAGCTTTTTAACGTTTATTTAATGTTTACAATGCAAATCCATCTAGATCCATTGTTTTTGGTAAACATAGCAAATCTCTATTTAATATATCTACTAAAAGACAGAAAATATTTACAAACTGTATTGCAAGAATATCAAATGAACACTTTCATATAAGTCAATAATACTACTGAAATTAATAAAAAACTGAATAAACATCAATTTACACACATTTACACAAGAAAAGAATTAGACTCAATGATGGGCTAATACCTGCACAGATTCTGTGTGGGCCCTAGTATACTTGCAGCAAACTTATTTTGTTTTCATTCAGAAGTTTGTAATGCATGATCATCAAAATGCTTTTAGCAAATATCCCAACGTTGCTCACAATGCTTAGGGCAAGGATTCTCAAAGTCTCAAATCAGAAGTCCAAATCTAAATTTTCCATTAATGTAAAAGGTTTGGAATACTTGGTTATAACAAAATTGTATAAACACTCACAGAAAATGAATCAACCATTAAAAATGCTTTTCCATTTTAAAACACCATAATAACAAGTTCAAAAGGTAAGTCAAAAGTAAGTGCAAAATACAGAGCATTGTGATGTGAGAAATGGCTCTTTGTTTTCCATCAGCCAACTAAACTTTTGTTTCATAGTGGCATTTGACATTTCCAAATATCTTATTACAAATAATAATAAAAAAAATGGGCTGGATCGGAGCAAAATGAACGCATACAGTACCTCTCTGTCCAATCATCTTTTAAATATATGGCGCACTGGGCATCATCCAATCATGCCCAGTGCTCCAAATATTTAGACTTTAAAGTAATTTTAAACAAGGCAAGAGATGGTGTTCCAAAATCCACATGTAAATTTCCTTGAAGTTTATTCTATACATATGGAGCATAATGTTTAAAAGCAGATCTATGTAGTTGTTTCTGTTTTACCTGATCTCACTTTGATGGACTGAACTGAAGAAGTGAACCAAATATTTCTGACACAATTACAATGGGTCAACATTAATTTTAATAGTAGGTGCTTGCCAGCTTATGCGAACCTTTTGTAAAAGTTTATTATTATAATTTTATTTAATTTTCATTTTTTGGCCTTATTCAGTTCCTCTTTGAATTCACCTGAATCACAGAATGTCATATCAAACACTTTTCTTGGCCTTATGTTATCCTCTGATTTAAAATTAATTTATACTCTACTGTTCCTTCTATTTCAGCAAAGCAGAGGATAAATGGTACAACGTGTCAAGCCATATCAACAAAAACGTTTTCAACATCACTGATGAATTTTATGGAGCTTTATTTCGGGTCCGTGCAGAGAAGGGAAACCACATCTCAGAATGGGCCATTTCAAATCGAGTCAATTGTGTAAATGGTAAGGATTGTTTTATGCGTTTATGCCTACCTTGCGTTTTACATTCAACTATGTTTCACACTTGAATCTATTTATTTCTTTGTTCATCCTGTTTTACAGTAAATTCTTGTGCTCCTGTGGTGAATCTATCTGAGAAACCAGGAATTGTTTCCTTAACTCTGGCACATATGGACCAGAGCTTGGAGAAAGAACATGGAGAACATCTTGAGTTTAACATATCGTCCTGGAGTGTGAATAGCAGAGAAAACCCTGAGGTCTCTTAAATCTATCAAGACATCATGCAAACATTCACAATTTTCTTTTTAATGACAAGAGTAAAGCTGACAAAGATTTTTGACCTTACAGGAGGATGTTGTAATAAATAGCAAGGATTATATCTTTAATGACCTGGAATCAGGGCAGATCTACTGTTTCCAGGTGGAGTATTTGCTCTACCATAAGCCATATGGAAAGGCTAGCAAGGAAAGATGCGTTTTCATCCCTGAAACACGTAAGTCTTGTTCACATATATGTATTGTAAATACACAAGCTGAATCAGTTTCATTAAGTGGTGTTTTGATTTTTAGACTCATCCAGAAGGTTTTAGGCAGACATTATTAAACACATGTAGAAATAACAGTGCTATGTACTCTTAACTTAAAGTCATATTGTGTTCTTTCATTGGTTTGCAGCTGAAGCAAAAAAGAAACGTGTTTTGATCTACGGTCCACTGATCACATGTTTTGTTTTGATGGTGTGCGGTTTCTGCATTTTTCTATTTTGTAAATGCAAGAGTAATAAAAGAGTGCAAAGTGTGGTTAAAGAGTGGTTCCAGCCATTCAAGCTGGACCTTCCTGACCACTATAAAGAGGTAAGCATTTACTTTTTATAATCAATCAAATAATTAAGATTAAGCATCTAAATGGTTACTCTGTTAAAATGGCAACCTATAATAATGAAATTTGAATGTATGTTCTCCAGTTTGAGTTTCTTGCTACCAGGCAATAAAAGTCTCTAGATGTGAAAGTGTGATCTTGTATTATTATTATTTCTTTTAAATGAATTGTTAAATATTTTACTTTTCTTTATGTAGTTTCTGTCCAGCGAGTTTCCTGTTGGATTGGCTCCAAGTCCCAGTATTCCAAGCTTACAGTCAGATGACTTTATTATATTAAAGGAGAACGCTGACGTGGAGGAGAATGGGCAAGAAGCGGAACAACAGAAGACTGAAATATTATGATTGTTTTTATGTGCCTAATAATTCCTTTGCGATTTAACATAATTTGCTCATCACTAACAAGCTTACGAATCCAGATTTGACTTGTGTAAGCATTAATAGTTTTCAGTGAAGTGACCTGTGCCAGGACCTGGTAGGCAAAAAAAATGGGTCAAAATGGCTGCTACACTTTGAACTCCATAAAAAATGCAGCACAAACTAGTAACATTTTTATCTGTTTCAAGCTATGAGTATTTGGATCGCATATGATCACAAACTGTAAAATGTGTGCACTTGCAATCAATATGCTGCACGTGCAGTCATTTAAAACCCTCTCAGAGATCCAATTCTTACATAATGTTATCTTTTAGATATTCCTCAACAATTGAATCGTTTGTGAGGGCGTTGTAGCACGTTCGTGTCTGCTTTTATCTACCTGCGAGGTAGAATTGAAACTGTATAAAAAGCATACAAACGATTTGACCCTTATAGGTACCATGGTTTGTAAAAATCCTTAAATATCTCCTTTACGGTTGTTCTGTTTCTGAAGGAATTCAGAATACAGTGTTGCTGTTATTGAATGCTTTTTTTTATTTGTCCATCTCAATGTCTAGCACTTAACACTAAATCTGAAATGCACTGTTTGTAGCCAGAGTCCTAGGACCGTTTGATGTCTGAAATTTCAATCTGTGTATGTGTTGTGGGGTAAGTTGGGCTTCACCGTACTATCCTTCAACATTATTATTTTGTAAATTATAAAAGAAATCTGCAAATCACTGTAATAATAAACTAGTTTTTGTTTGTCACTAACAGTAACAGGCTGCTTAATTTAACCGTCTACTATTCTTTCCCTATTAAAATTTAATTACAAGACAGTTCTCAGTATTGCATGCAACATTGTTTTTTTTTAAATTCTTTCTAAATATCAGTATGCTGATGTTCTGTGTGAAGGAGATGAACATTTACTTTAATGTCTGCCATAATATATTACTATACTTAATGTCAATTTCCGATACATAATTGCTGTACATTTCATTTGGTTGCCATAGTGGATTCATGCTGTGAAAAAATATGAGTATGAGGAACTGGAGCTGTTTCAGGGCTTATTTAAATGATTAAATGTTTTGTGTGTGTTTATGTTCTTTTAAAAGTTATAGTGACAGTGCCTTCATGCTGTTTCAGAATTAAAACCAACATAAAATGTAAAGATTTGGAATTGCATTGTGCTTTTTTTTTTATTATTGTATCGAAATGTTCACACTGTGTAGGTCAGAGATCAGTCTTTCTTATTTATTTTGTGCAGTTTTGCTGTTTTTGAGCCACCTTAGGAGGGTGTACAGTTTCACAAGTGGCCTCTTCAAAAAAAGGAACTAAATAAAGTAATAATACAAAAATTTTCGTGGAATGTTTTGAAATGGGATAAAAGCATGCAAATTAAATGATGCAATAGGTGTTTTCCACCTGAAAACAACAGGAAAATAACAGTTTTTTTTTCTTCACTGGCCACTAGAGGGCACAAGCATACTTGATAGTATCAGAGATGCCCAAACTAGGGTCCACGGGGCAAAGTTGGGCCTTTGATTTGGCTCATCTTTTCATGTAAGAAGAGAGGCAATTTTGGGGAAAGTTGGGGTTAGTGCCTTTAATACAAATTGTTATTTTTTTACTTAACGCAACCGTTCATTGATTTGTTTAATTGTTAAGCTTCAATAAAGTACAAAAATACGTTTCAATGAAATTTTGTTATGAATATATGAACAGTTCAGATAAAAACCTCTAAATGCTATTTGAAATTTCTTTAAAAAGCAAACCTTTTTCTCAACCCACACACATATATATATATATATATATATATATATATATATATATATATATATATATATATATATATATATATATATATATATATTTAATGAACATGCTGCTGCTCAGCATATACATGTATGGTGCATCAGTCTAGTCTAGTGCAGTGGTTCCCAACCTGGGGTCCGCGCCCCCCTAAGGGGGGCGCCAGAGTTCACAGGGGGGCGCGGGAGAGGATAAGTATTGAGGTAGAAAAAGGCAAAAAAATGGTCCACTATTATAAAGGGCTTTGCAATTAATCGAAAATCCGATTTAGATTTCGGTTTCAAACGATTATTAAAAAGCATTAATCGAGATAAATGATTATTGCATCATATTTCGCCACAGTTGTACACGTGTTGCTCTTAAAAGCGCGAAAGAGCTTATGCGTGTGTGCAGCACGATCACGCAGTAAGAAGCATGCAGCCGGTCAGCATTCACTCTCATTCGCACACTGAGACGAGCAGAGGAGCGCAGACATCTAAAGTCATCTTAACGTGAACGCTTTAATGGTCAAATAGGTGTCAAAACGCGGTGTTTAGTGATTATTAACATTAACCCTCATTTGTATAATAAACAAACGAGTTGAGGATCAAAAGACGTGAAAGAGAAGCCATTAAAGATACAGCGCGCTATCCTTCTGCCGCCTGTTTTTATCATTATTAAACAAACATAACGAGAAAACCCTCGCTGCTCTTGACTGAAGGACTGCTGTAGCTAAAGTGTTTTTCTTACAGTGAAGATGCTTAAAGCACAGTTTGTTTCATATTTTTATTCTATTGTATTCATTTCTCTTTCCTTTGCAGGGTGGAAAATAACTGTATGTATACAGTTGAAGTCAGAATTATTAGCCCTCTTGAATATTAGCAAACCTTTTCCTGCCCAATTTCTGTTTCATGGAAAGAAAATGTAATAACTTAACATAATAGTTTTGATATCTCATTTCTAATTACTGATTTCTTTTTGTCTTTGCTATAATGACAGCACATAATATTTTACTAGATATTTTTCAAAATACAAGCATTCAGATTAAAGTGCAGTTCAAAGGCTTAATTAGAGTAATAAGGCAAGTCATTATAACGCTAGTTTATTCTGCAGACAATCAAAAATAAATATTGCTTAAGGGGGCTAATAATATTGACCTTAAATTGGTTTCAAAATATTTAAACCTGTCTTTATTCTAGCTAAAATAAAACAAATAGAAGAAAAAATATTATAGGAAATACTGTTAAAATTCCTTGCTCTGTTAAACATAATTTGGGAAATATTTATAAAAAAAAAAAAAATCTCAGGAGCGCTAATAATTTTGACCTTAACTTGCAATGGTTTTGAATAATCGTGATTACAATTATGACCAAAATAATCGGGATTATGATTTTTCCCAAAATCGAGCAGCCCAAAAAAATAAAAAATAATCTAAACACATGATTAAAACTCCAACATAATAGTGAAAATAATTAAAATAAATAACTTTAAATAATTATTTAAATTTTGCTCACTCGCGCAATCTGCTTGTCAACGTATCGTAAAGGCAAAATCAAAACAAAAATGGCAGACAAACGTAAATGCAGTGATTCTTTAGAGGCGAAGAAAAAGATTAGACAGTATGACAAAGCCAACCTAAATTTTGGTTTTATTGAAGGCCAAGACAAGTTAAAACTGATTAATTAATATTTTCTATACATATTACTATATATTAATATTACACAAAAACACACACACACACACACATATATATATATATATATATATATATATATATATATATATATATATATATATATATATATATATATACACACAGTACATATGTGTGTGCGTGCGTGCGTGTGTATTTATATGGTGGGGGGCTCCAATGTTTGTATATGTTTATTGGGGGGGGGGCCCCAAAGAAAAAGGTTGGGAACCACTGGTAGTGTATAGAAGGCTAGTGTTTTCAGCATTGAACTCTGTTGTGTTATAAATTGAATTCTTATGTTTTCATTTTAACTTGGCCATTATAAAATGTAAAAAATAAATAATGTCTTAATATGTTAACATGATTAAAGTAATGTTTCCTATTTATTATGAAATAGGTTAGGAAATTATCCTCATATATATATATATATATATATATTAACTTTTGAGAATAATTATCTGGTTAATCCAGATAACATGGGACTAAAATGAAGGACCGTTTTGTCTAAATGATAAACTTTGGCTTCATGTTTTCTCCACAGAACATCCTATTATAGCATCAGGCTTGAGCGAAGAATGTGCCAACGGCATGAAATGTGTGAGCTAGAGTTGACAGGGTACAACCGAACTGTCCCTCCTGAAGCATTCCAAACTGGGATCTTGAAAGAAATGGAATGTTATTAAAAATCTTCAATGCAGACCCACGGTGAGAAAAGAGGGCTTCAGGGGATGCATAGATGTTTGTGGCTTGAGAAAGATGAACAGGTTTGTCAATCGTTGTCGTGCTATTTCACTGATCAGTCGGATATCCCTGATGAGAAAAGCAAAATGGCCAACAAATTTGACAAAGATCTGGATAGATTAAGCTGGCGTTCGCATAGCTTGAATGGACTGGACAAGAAGCCTGTTTAACCTGATGGACGGAATCTCAGATGTTTTACGAAATGCTTTTCTTAGCAAAGATTGGAAAACGTGCTTATTGAAGCAAAAGCTGCAGAACAGCTCTGATCCATGAGTCTAATAAAAGCTCTATTGCAAAGGTCATTATCTAATAAGTTTTAAAGAATGGATATTGCTACTTCTGATTTAAAGGTAGGCTATAGTTTACCCAAAAATAATATTGACTTCTCCTACACATACTTTTAAAAGTATATTTCATAAAATATAAAATTTGATGAGCACAAAAGAAGATATTTTGAAGAATGCTGGTTACTGGCACCCATCGACTGCCATAGTATAAAGAAAATACTTTGGAAGTCAAAGGTTGCCAGGGTATATCAACAATTCTTTGTTTGCTTGACCAACAGAAGACAAATTATTTTTTTTGGGGGGGGGGATATCCAGTCACACTTTATTTTGAGGGTCCATTTGCTGAGTTAAAGTTACATTGCAACTGATTCTCATTAGAATATAAGTAGTCTGTTAAATTGGGGTTAGGGTTAGTTATTGACTTGCAAAGATTTTTATAATCAGTAAAATGTCTGTTGAAGGAGCAGTATCAACAGATATTAAGCAGACAATAATACTCAAATGGACCATCAAAATAAAGTGTTACTAAATATCCATTTGAAAGGATGCTAATACAGTTGGAGATTAATCTTGTTGGAATTTCAACAAATGCCCAAATTCATTTAGATATATAGAGTCTTGTCTGTTTGGTCATTTACTTGGATCGATTTCTGTTTTCTATATGAATTAAGTTTTGTTTTAGCTGTTAGCAGGCTAGCACATCCATTGATGACATTAATCATGAATATTCTCAGTATGAATACTTTAATTCAGCAAAGATGCATAAAAATGACCAAAGGTTTCTATTATATACTTTAATCAAAGTATCATTAAGAACAGCTTCAGTAAAATGATACACAACACAATAAGCCATTTTAAGACAGTAGTAGTGCTGAGAATGTGCTTTTCTGCCACTCAAATTATGTTTTAAAATATATTAAATGAAAAAGCTATTAATTTCCCAGAGTTGGGTTGCAGCTGGAAGGGCATCCCCTGAGTAAAACATATGCTGGAGAAGTTGGTGGTTCATTCCACCCCAGATTAATAAAAGTATTAAGCTGAAAAGAAAATGAATGTTCACAGTATTACATTTTTACTGTATTTTACATTCGTTTATTTTTTGTAAAACTGTACACAAATCTTATTAAACCCAGATAAAGTATCGATTTATGATGAGCTAGGGCATATGTGTTATTAGAATGGGCTATATGCAGAGCTAGTGTCTATCAGCCAATGATGAACTTCCAGTGAAAGCTTTATGTGACTATTTTAATGAGGTTTCTTTTAAAGCATCGATGTTGTAATGTGTTTCAAATACAACCAGGTTAATAAACTTAAGCATCCATTTGGTTGTTAATGCATAAAAAGAGACAAAAGACAGTTTAACCGCAGGCGCCGTCATTAGCAGCAGGTTAGCGCAAAAACTCAATTGAAAATACTGGAGTAAAATTAATTTGCTTGTTTTAAAGACATGGTGCGTAAAAATCTAATTTAATGCAATGCCTCTTGTTTGGTCTGAAACCCTCTTTATGTTGTATCTCAGCCAGGCAGTGGGGATTGCTGTTTTTTTTTTAAGAAATCAGATCTTAAACACAGATTTTGTATGGGATCACAGTTTACCGCAAGCCCTGGGGCTGGCTAACTGAAATTAAAAGTCTGTGTGATTATGACGTTCAAACTAACATTAAGACAGTGCAAAGACATGGATTTATGTTGCAGGACTGTATAAAAGATTTAATAGCTTTAATGATTTCACCCATTTAAGTTTATTATATATTGTTTTAGAATTTGCATTATACACTTTGCAATGATGATGATGCTTGAATGCATGAATGGTCTAAGTAGTTGCGAGTTGATGCTACGCTGG